GAATATATCCGTATACATAAATGTAAATTTCTACAGATGCCTGTATTACAGATATATCTATGTATATATATATATATAGACATGTACATAAGATACAAGCATATAGATGACTCTGTGCCGTGACAGTTTGTTGCTTGTGTGACGATGCGTGTTCGTAGGAGTGTGTGTCTGTGTGTACGTGCGTGCACATGTCTACACAGCTACACGGATTAGATACATAGGATTGTTTGAAGGCGTAGGGGTTGTGGCGCACTGGCTGAACCAGATTGCAGACGGCACACATGCAAGCGACACGTTACCTCATCTTTAGCAGGGTCAGCGGCGGAAACCTCTCTGGCCTTAAGGGTGGCTGAAGGGCCAAAGAGAGGTATCTGTATGTAAAACTATGAGAGCACCTACATGTTGGCGATGAATAACTCAGTTCCCCAAATCCGCGATCAGTCAAGTAGACGCGCAGGATGAGTTATGCGATCCATGTTTCCTACACAAGTGGGCAACGGAATGTGTGCACGAATCGGGAAGACAGAAGGAAACCAAGATAGTCGTGATTGCACTTTGATGATGCGGTCCGTGGCTTGTGTTCCCAGCAACATCTCAGGGCTTGCGGTCCTGTGGAGAGCAAAGATACTGCTTCATCCACACTTCATGTGCTGTGGGCTAGGAAGTTTCCCATGCTGTTCCTACACTCCTCGTTTAAGAGCAGGCTTGGCAAAAGCACGCTGTCTAATGATACCGGTCCTATCATGAGGCTCTATATCAGCTTCCCTCTTTGGGATCTACTACCTGGTTCTCTGAAACAGCATCTAAGCGTTTAGGTCACTTGCATGGCTGACCTGAAGTAAATGAAAGTATACGCGCCTTAATAATTAGAATATGGTTTGGGGGTTGCATCGGACAGAAGTCTGAGGCGAGTACTTCGAAAGATGCGTGTTGCATCGCTGAATAAGCTAGCTGTCTTTGAGCTAGGCGTCTTAACTAATTACTGCAATGATTTGATCAATGCAGTTTAACATCGAGTCGTACTGTACCGACCAGGAATCTAGCAACTGTACACAGAAGTCGCAGGGACTCGGACAACGGCGCGTGAGGTTTCGTGGCTCAACAGAAAAGTTGAGTAACTTGCCACAACTTGCACAAGCTTCCGTTGAAGCCCAGACAGGCTGAATGATGTGTGTGCGAAAGTCATTTTCAAGTAATTGATTTTGCTTGTATCTTTCAAGGGTATCTTTAAATCTGGTCAATCTTTTCTTAGCAGCTCTGAATCGCTTCAAAGGCCCAGGCTTGGGCGGAAGAGTATTTCTAATTTCAACTGAAGACATGGACATCCATTTTTCAAGAGGGATTTGAGAAATGCAGTTCACCTGCTGGTGAAGGCCAACTTTGATCTCCCTAATTTGAAGAACCCATGGAATGGGCGCGCCTTTCTTCTTAAATCTCGGAATCGGCCATTTTTCGGACAAGGGACTACTCATAAGTGTTTTTGCCTTAATACCTACCGCTTCACAGAAAGCGATAGTTGTGATACGCAGAACATGTGGGCTGATGTTTGAGGCAAGTCGAGTCTCAACTCGAAGTTTTTGGACGTTATTAGAAGCCTCAAGAAGATCCCAATCAGGAATGAAGTAGAAATTATCGGGGAATGCCGTCTCATTCGGAAAGGCAGCAAGCCATTTGTCATGTCTGTCATTGAGGAAAGCCATGCTATGTAATTCATGATTATGCTGCTGTGTTTGAAACAGAAAAGAAGTGAGCACTCTTAATTTATAAGAAGCCATACCAATGAATTGGCATTGACCCAAGAAATCAGCATCAATTCCGCCATATTGTACAAACAGGGCAAGTGCTTGAGTCCAAGTGCGAATTTTGACAGCACCTTGACAGTGAATGTTGGTCCATTTTGCCCAAAAAGAGAAAACCAGCGCAAAATCTTTAATAGTACTACCCCATTTGTTCCATTCAGTGCGTGTGCTAGGGGGATTCCATTGCAAAGGAAGTGCTTGCGAAAGGCACATTTCCGTTTTTTGTCTGTTCTGCATCGGGAGAACCTCTCCGCAAATGTCATTTTGCTGATTTTCTTCAGGCGCAAATTGCTGGTAGTTATCAGGGTCTCTGTTCATTTCCATCCACTGATACAAAAGTTGCGCAACCAGAAGTTGGAGCTGATGCCATTTACCACGCGTGGATTCAGGGAGCAGATTGGAGCATATTAGGGCCGATTTAGCGCATTCCGGCCATTGACTGTTATCAAGAAGTTCCTGAGGCCAGGATCGTCTAAGCTCAGCGAACCGTGGGCATTCCCATATAATGTGTTTAATATTGCCTTCCTCATGAAGGCAATATTGACAGTGCGGAGTAGCTTTAATGCCCATCTTATGAAGCCTATACGGTGTAGCATGAGCGTCAGATAACATCCGGATGACTGGGTTCCTAAAAGGCGATGACGGCTCTAAGCTTCGAAGCAGTTTTGTTGTTGCTTGCAAATCAACATCGACGACTCCTTTCCATTTTGGATGTTTTTGTTCTAATTGCTGATAAAATCGTCTACGGATCTGCTCTCGAATAAAATGCTCAAACTTCTTTTTGTCAGGCTCAGTGAACAGAATGCAATCATTTTCACTGTTGCTGATAGCATCAGCGTCGGGTGAGAAGCGGCAGCATAACCAATCCAGGTCTCTTTGAAAAATGGTCATGGGACCATAAAGATCATGTTTGGAAGGGACAGATTGCTCAAGCATGTCCTTAAGTTGTTGTGCAATTAACGGTGCTTGAATAAATACTTGTCTCCAGAACCTTAAATTATGATAGACCATAGCGCTTTCCGGATCAAACAGATGTGTTTGTTCGCAAAAGACACTATGTGCATTTTGTGTTTGACATTTGCGGAAGGCAGTCGCTTCAAAGATCTTTGACCTTAAATTTTCAATTTGTGCTTTAGTGGGCCTGACGGCAGTACACGGATAGCAAATGGCGGGGATGATCTTCCTAGCAACAATAGTAACTGCATTGTCATGAGTAATGCGTGATCTGCTGATTTTGTTCAAAAGGACATAGCAGTCTTGTAAGATGGGACTGAAAAATTTGGAGGCCGAAGTGCATTTGAGAGGGAGTGGTATCCCAAGATAAACAATTTGTTTTTGTCTTTTAACTTCGTAACCATCGAGCCACCAAAGATTTTCAGCCTCGGCGTTATCACCAAACGCAACAGTTTTGGCTTCAGTCTTAAACTCATAAGAACTGTCCCAAAACTGAGTGATGTGGAAGGCTTGCTGTAAATGCTGTGCGCTACTACCCAACATGAGGCGATCGTCCACAAAAACCTTAGCAAAGATTTCCTCATGGGGCAATTCATTGGCCCACGCTCCTAACATTGTAGCAGCAGCAAGCATACTTAAAGGATCACCTTGCGGAATTCCCAAAGAAGCCCTGAATCCATTTTGAGAAACAGAACCATTAAGCGAGGCAAATCTTTGAATGTTGGTAATCATAAACTGCCACGTCGCAACAACGGAGGTAGGGACACCAATATGGAGTAAACTTTCGCAAGCTTTGTCCATGGGAACATTATCAAAGAATTTTTCTGTATCAATGGCAACACCTTGGATTGTAGCGCGAACAAGTGGATCAAGCCTCCAAGTGGCCTCACACATGAGTGCTGCAGGCAACCAGGCATGAAAAGCAGACCTTCCACTAACACCTCCAACCGAATGTTCAGAAATATTTTGCTGTGTTTCACGACACATAAGCAAAATGGTCTTGCAGAAAATCCTGTAACACACAGGTGTGATTGTCAAAGGCCTTAAATCTTTAACTGAAGTTTTCCCTTGCTTTTTAGGTATGCAAGTCATTTTGCAGTTAAGCCACATCAAGGGCACACGATGTTGCTGGATTGACTTGTGAAAGATGTGTGCAAGGAAGAGCACGGCAGCGTAAGGCAACTGCTTGAGATGCGCAACTTCTAATCCATCAAGTCCCGGGACTTTGGAAGCATCAGCCTTCGCAATGATAGTCTGAACATGTTGATTGATATCCAAAACTTGTGAAGCATCACAACAGTATTGGCGTGGAACTGCTTGCTGCTCAGGAGAAAGTGCCCCACTGCTTTTGTAAACTTTCCCAAAGAAATTTGTAATTTCTTTAAGAGAATCATGCAAACAGTTTGTGAAACCGTCCTGTCCAAAATTTTCACTCTCGATGCAAGAAGGGATAGGCGGTGAGGGAGCTCGAGCCCATTTGAAGAGATTCTTAGTCCAAGTGTGCTGCGACTGACCGTTCTTTTGGATCTTCAGCCTCCACTTTTTCAGCTGATTTTTGGAAATTTGCTGTAATTTGGACAAGATGGTTTTGTGTTGCAGCCAATCCTGATTCTGGATGGCCTGTCCTAATTGAAAATGCAACTTGCTACTTTTAAATTGCTCACGCAATCGGAAGCGAGGTTGCATTCCCAGGACGGCCCCTGCATGGTTGTGAATTTTCTGGAAAGTTTGACAGAATATGGTTTGGGGGTATATTATACCATAATTTCAATTAATGGGAATATGGTTTGGGGGTATATTTTCCCCTTTTTGTAATAAGGAACCCCCAAAACCCTGGCCCTAGTTAGTTATTTGGGCCCCGGTAGTAAATCTACGCTCCGGTTGCACTCCTGCAGCAAAGCCAAGGTACCGCGCTGGCCGCAACCGCACACATGCCGGGACAGACGCCTTCAGGCTCCTGACACTGTTAGCAAGCAAGAACACCTACACCCGTAAACCGCAAAGTGAACATTGGAGTCCGTGCAAGGGGATTCGATCGAGGTTTGTCAGTCCTGCCGTCCCACCCTAATAGCTTAGTCTTGTTTTTTTGCGGTTTCCAGTCCAAGCTTCAGGGTTTAGGAACAAGTGGCACGAGTTTCGGGACTGGCCCTTTGCATTTGAGCTTTACGCTTTACGGCTTCCCCTACCGTCGCTTGCTTGAACATACCTTTCTTCATGTGGGGTGCTACAAAACACACTCAGCACACAATGCTGCGGCAGTTCCAGATGTTTGAGCAACCTGTCAGAAGCGGGTTACTACTCAGGGTTCATAATGGTGCACAACATGGACGGCTGATAGTATTACTTGTTTCTTGTAGTAGGGGCAAGGACAAGTATTGCACGGATAACGCAACAAACGCAACTATCACGTGCCAAATCAGGTTTCGGGAAAATGGTAAGCGGGTTCCACACGAATGTACTTCAGTCGACAAAAAACTTTCAGACTCCGAGCGATGCTACCATCTGAAGTTGAAGATCATAATTTGGACTCGCGAAGGGCAAGGCACCCAAGAAGAAGGGCAATGTCGCGATATCATTCGGGAAGCCTGGAATTTGACCACCTTGCCCAACGAACCTGACACCCTCACTCCTAAAGCCCTTAAACACAGACCCCAATCCCGCAACCCTGAGCCTGAAATTGGAAGGTTTAACGACACCTATCAAGACGAGTCCTGGCTGCAGCGCTTCGTGGTGGGCCCGGAGAGCCAGGCGCAGCGTGATCGTCACACTGGGTTTCCTCTGTTCATGAATATGAGTTGCATTCTCCTTCTTGTTGTCGTGTGTAATTCCTAGCATGATTCGTACTCGTGTTCATGTTCTCAGTATCATTCCTTACATTCGTTGCTGTGGCTCTTTCAGGAGGCTGAGTCGGGTGGGAATTGGAGGGAGGTCCTGGTCTGGGTCGGCGTGGGTCCAGGAAAGACTCTGGCTGGCTAGTGGAGGAATTAGCCCATCCGGAGGAAATTGCAGTACTATACTTGCTCAGGGTAAAGATCCCTGGAGAGAGGTCTTGGAAAGGCTTTGTGTAAGTACCGTGCGACGACATTGCAGTGTCACTCAGATCATAAAGTTTTCTTGCCATTAAGACGTGCGACAAGGTCCAGTTTGTGTGGGCCATGATGGCCACGTGCTTCATCATCTGGGATACTGCTACCATTCCCCTGGAGATGTTCCCTGTGGACCGTGTCTTTGGCCAGGCTCGCAACTTCACCAGTGCTTTCGAAGTTTCGGATGCAAGGTTTATGGCTTAGGGTTCAGGGATTAGGGTTTGAGTGCTGCGCATCCACGAAGTCCTTACAACCACGTTCCTCTTACAAGCTGTTTTGTTTGTCCAACTTGCTGGGTCCTGAGCACTTAGGGAGGTTTGGCCCAAAACTGACAGGTGATGACGATCGTGGCTGTGACCTCCTCCGTACTTTGGCAGTATGTGCGGGATGTGCTGATACAGTGCAAATACCCCAAACCCTAAACTGGGCCTAAACCCTTTGAGGCTCTTTCATCCAGGGCGATAGAAGTTGATGGTAGTTCACCTTGCGGTTTGGCTGTTGCCTCAGAGCCCTCCAGTAAAGAATCCCCCTTTTAAAAGGCATCTCCCTGTGCAGGATTCTTTCCAAGGGTTCTAGTATTTTGGGACCCTAAACCCCTAAACCCTAAACCCTAGGCTATCATAAGGGTCCATTCCCTCAATCCCTACATAGACTTGGCTCCTGGACCCACTCCTAGCAAACCCTTTGACTCGTGACGAAAAGCCCCAAGCTAAGCCAATAGACGGAAGGTTGGTGCAATGTCAGCAGCTTCAGCTCTGTTTTGAATTTAAACAGAGCTGTTTCAAATTCAAAATATAATACAGCGCCATCCCAAGCACCACATTATCAGCGCAGTAGCCCACGAACCTTCGATCTACCTGCTCAAACCCTTCGCTTAAAACCCCGTGTAGAACACCTTCACTCTAAATCTTGAACCAGCTGTTGCGGGTACGTTGGGTCACTGGCATGCACACATCCCAAAAAGTCCATGTGCCTATACGTACAAGCCCTGCCCCAACCACTTCTTTCAGAGGCCCAAATCAGACCGGGGTTCGTTTTGGGTGTGTGTTTGCGGTCTAGGGTTTAGGGTTGTTAGAAGGACCGCTTTCGGTGGTCTCTTGTTGTTGCGCTAAGGTCTTTTGGATTGTCGATTTGCCCCTGCACTTCCTGTTTGGAGTGCAGACAGGCGGCGCAATCGAGCTGAGGCAAGTGCAGGGAAGCCAAAAGCCAGAGTTGAACAAGAATCATTTAGAAGCTGCCCCCACCCTGTAATAGTGACTATAAGGATTATGTTAGGGCCCTGTTATATTCCTATGGTACCACTATTACAGGGTGGGGGCCCCTTCGAAGGAATCATCGAATTCAGAGATGGCAGCTTAAGGCTTAAGTGCTGCAATGTGCACCTTTTAACGCAATGGAAGGTTTTGAGTCTAGCAGCTGCATGACCCAGACCGTGCACCTCAAAGTGTTCAAACGCGCTTTCATGCGCCTTGGGATGACGGGTCGTCTCATTCCCAGATCCTAGCTGGGGCGCAGGTTTTGAGAAATCAACCCTACACCGTAGGACATGCCAACTCTACACCCTGCAACGCTGAAACCCTGCATCAGGATACATTGACTGGGCAACCGTAAACTGCGCAGACCTTGGGATTCCAAGTAAGGCTTTCAAAACTCCACCCTAATCTCTCCTCCAAGCCCTAAATCGGAATCAAACCCCTAAACGCTGCCCCCCCAAACCCGACACCTGCTTTCAGACTTGGGACTATTCTGGGCTGAAGATCTCGTGATGATGCGCAAGTTTTCCTTGTAGAATTACGGCATCACTAAAATAACTGCACGTTAATTAATATGCCCATAGGTGCTTTGAACTCGCGGGTTCGTTAGAACAGAACCCTCTTGCAGACTGAGAGTCTGAACCACAGCTACTTGGATAGTATGCAAGCTACAGGTGAAAGGGGCCCCTGTCAGAAATTCAAAGATCTCCACCTCGATCCTCGTTCCTGCAGCAAAGCATTTGACAGAAGCCAGCCAAGCTTCAGAACAGCCGTCGTAGTTTCCGCCCACTAGAAAGAAAGGAAGAAGACTCAGCCATCAAGGTTGACTTTGCTAGCCGTTCTGATACGAGGCCATGGCAGCTGGCGAAGCTCTACATGAGGTCGTGGCTGCTGGCTGACATCCTCATCATAGTGATAGATGTCCCTCGGCACCGACGGCTCCGCAGCGTGTTTGCATTCCCACCTGTTTGGGACAAACGTCTACCTGAACCCTTGAGACATGAGGTACCAGTAGTAGCAGTAGCGGCAGCAGCAGCAGCAGTAGGAGTAGTAGCAGTGGGAGTAGTCGTAGTCGTCTAGTAGCAGTAGTAGTAGTAGTAGTAGTAGTAGTAGTAGTAGAAGTAGAAGTAGAAGCAATGTAGTCGTAGTAGCAGCGTCGTCGTCGTAGTAGTAATTTGTGGTACTGGTCGGGGTCGTGGTAGTACGTAGTCATAGTAGTAGTAGTAGTAGTAGTAGAAGTAGAAGTAGTAGTAGTAGCAGCAGCAGCAGTCGCAGTAGTAGTAGTCGTCGTCGTCGTAGTGGTCGTGGTAGTGGCAGTGGCAGTTGTTGTTTTTGTTATTGTTGTTGTAGCAGGAGTAGTATAGTAGGAGCAGCAGGAGTGGCAGGGACAGGAGGAGTAGTAGTAGCAGCAGCAGTCGTCGTAGCGCCTAGTGGTAGCAACAGCAGCAGTAACAGTAGCAATAGCAGAAGCGGAAGCAGCAGGAGCGATAGTAGTGGTACTAGTACTAGTACTACTAGTGTCTGAAGCAGTTCGCTCTAAGTCCAAAGCGCAGGTGACGCTGCTGTCCTTCGAAGCATTGGCGTCGGATGTGGACCCAGTCTTCCGATCCGGTCGCTTAACTACGATGTGAAACTGCTTTGTAACTTCCGGAAGCCTAGGACTTAGGGCTAAGTTGTTTTAGCATTTAGCTTTCTCCGGTCGTGCTTCGTGCTTCGGGACAAGTGTGATAGTGCCGGCACTCCCGGTGTTGAGCATAGCAGATATCACATTTTTGTTGCGGCAAGCAGGATTGCAAGAGGGACAGCTACAGGCATAAGTATCCCGAACCCCACTAGCCCTAACCTCTAAACGACTCCAAACCCTGAGCTCTAAACCCTCAACCCCTACGGAAAAGGAAGTCTTCGTTCGGTGAAGCTTGCCTGGCGCAGCTTTGTTGGGGCGGGGCAAGTATATATTAAGGAATCCTAAGAACTAGTAGTTCTGATTGTTTGCTCTACTACTTGTTTTAGCGATTATTTATTATCGAGGTCTGCATGTCGAGAGGCGGTGGTCACCTTCTTCGTATACGACAATATACCAGCAAAAGCCCATGTCGTCAGAGAAGACAGCGCGGGGCTGTTACAAACTCTTTGCGAACCATGGCAAGTCAGAAAACATCGTCTGCGTTACTGCAGGGAAAACTCAACATTCTCAAATGAGGATCGTAGAGATTTTGCACCTCATCACTGTTTCCGAGGTCACACATGACGGGTCTCATATTGTCGATGCGCAGCAACAACACGCAGACCCTGAAAACCATTATCCTGCACAGCCTCAATCCTCGACCCCAACCCCAGAAGCCCCCTAAGCCCCAACCCCAGAAGCCCCCTAAGCCCCAACCCCAGAAGCCCCCTAAGCCTTCATACCCGAGGCCGTTTCCTGCGGACGCTGCGACTGGTCCGCCTGGTGCGGCTGCTGCGTGTGGGAAAGCTGGAGAGGCACTTTCTTTATTACAGCTGATTTTGGGAAAGGTTTCCGAAGTGTACACAGGGCAACAATAGTCGTTTTCAGGGTTTGTGTTGCGTTGTACGGCTGGTCTAGTCAGTTTGCTTGCGGGGGAGTTCATCAAGTTTTTCATGTTAATAAGGTTAAGGGGGGCTTAGCTTTCATGACTGAGGGTTGTGAGAATTGCAAGAGAAAGCGTTTCTACTGCTGTCCAGATCTCCGAATCGGGATGGACACCGAGGCAGGTGATGAAAATTGCCAACCGCTTCCTGTCGACCTACTCGCTGATGGCCTTACGAGCCTGGGTCGCAAGTGGGGGGGGGGGAGGGTCTGCTGCCTCAGAGTCTTCTGGATGAAACACTAGGATGCCCAGTAGTACCCTTCCCTTTTTGTAATCCTAAGTTCCTTATAAAGTTACCCTATACCAAGAAGGGAGCCCTTTTCCTTCATCCTAGAACATAGTCTTTCTTATCGGCCCCCAGTGTTGTAGCGACTGAAGAGCTCAGCGCTTGTTCATGCGGGAAAAGATGCTCTCAACCCCTCTGTGTTCCAACATCTGGCTGTAGAGGCAGCGGTGGGCGATATCGTGCTTCAGGGATGAGGGAATAAGACATAAACCCCAACTCCCAACATCCCCTAACGCATGATTTTTGATCATGTTTCTGAGACGAAAATGCAGGGCACGCTTAAGGATTGAGGGCTCCCAAGTTTACTTGTGGCATCACGCCCGGCGATAGCGCTTGATGTGAGCACTGATCTGAACCAAGTCTTTGCAGAGGCCTCTTCGGACAGGTCCTCCTGAAATTCATGACTGCTGTAGGGGCCTTAATAATTTCAATGGGGTTTTGGGGATTCCTTATTATAATTATGGTATAATATACCCCCAAACCCTATTCTAATTACTTAGGCCCCTAGACTAGCTACTTCGCCCAGATATTACAGTGGCACCCACTGTGTCACCTCCAGCAGCATCAGCGATTGGCTTGGGTTGGGGATTTGGCAGAGTGGCTTTGGTGCGAAGCCTTGTGTTCGGATAGTGCTCACGAAAAATTAACCCTCGCAGGGCTCCAGTCTCAAATGAGGCGTAGAAGAAGGACCAGCAAGCAAGAGTGAGATTCAAACGGACCAGCAACAGCTACCGCTGCAACGACCACGACCATCGGGACAGCGACAGCGACCAGAGGACGGTAGTTACAGGGGTTGGTCTCTTCAACAGCAGAGCAGCCGTATGAGCAATCTCTTCAACTCTTACCAGCAGCACCCACAGCCGCTGTCGCCATCATCACCGTCATCATAAGCAGCAGCATAACCGACGCTAGCAGTATGTCCTGTTTGAAGGTTGTAACAAAAGCAAGAAGCGGCTGGGTGGCAAAGCGCCATGTGATGTCACGGTCATGTCCCTGCGTCAATCTTCGAGGAGTCGCGGGCTACCTTGCGATCATGCTCGCGATGAACCATTTGATCGCATGCTGCTGGCAACACGTCGAAACAGTTTGCACGGATCTGTCCACCCACGTTTCCGTCATACCGTACAAGACAGAACGTCATGCCGTCGATGTATCTACTGTTGCATCAACGTATTTGTGAAAACACAACGAAGGCAGAACATAAAATGGGCCACAAAATATGCCCTACTACTCATAAGCTTTCAGGCATAAGAGACAAGGTAGACATATACTATAGCATGTAATGTACCGTGCTACCTGGCTGGGATTGCTCATGTTGTATATATCGTGCTCGTATCAGTCTGTCTGTTACTGTAGCATGATCTTGAAGCGCAAGCTGGTATGCATATCGAAAACATGCTTGCTTGCTGGGTTACATGCATGCATGCATGCACGGGCATGTACATCCAGAGCCATGTGAGACTTGTACAGTTATACTGTATAACGATACAACGATCCATGACAGACTGCAGAAACAGTCTCCTGCGAGGTTGTTGAAGGGGTCCGCGCGTTCCCTTGAGCTGAGGGCTTGGAGCACCAGGTCCATGCATGCCAGTGTCCACAAATCATAGCTGCCTGTTTTGCACGGACGATTGTAAGGAATTCTGCTGTATGTATGAGGCGAACTTTATGACTAAGGCACCTCAAGCCTGAACCCTGCAACTCCGCACGAAACCAGAAAGTAAGGTAGCTTAGGGTGCCTCTTGCATTCTTCAAAACCAAGCTTGAAGCCTTGAAACCCGCAGCACTGATTCAGAATCCCCTAAACCCTAAACCCTAACCTTCAAAACTCAGCGACCCCAGAGCCCGCCACAAACTCCAAATACCCTGAATCCGATAATCAGGAACCCCAGAAATAGTATTGGCAATTGTGGGACGAGAGGGCAAAACTAGTTGTAGCATGTCCGTAAAAGCCTTGCAAACTCCCATTAAATTCTGCCCGTAACACATGCTTTCATTTATTCAGGCATCTGTTTAAAGTGTTAAGATTCTAAATCTTCAGGTATGGTGTGGGCGCCTGGACCCAGCATTTGGGGAACTGGTTGGACAGGTCGGAAATAGATCCGGAGCCCTGGCAGAAACGGATGTTGACACAATCTAATGTAGGGGCCAAAATAATTGCCCATACTTTTTGGGAGGTTCCTTATCATAGTTATAGAATAAAAGGCCCCGACCCCATAACCCTATTTTAAGTACTAAGGCCCCTACGTTATGCAGACCACGCAACTTGTTGGGTTCTTCCTACGCGGAAGAAACTTTAGCCCCACAACCGTAAATCTAAAGATTGATCCGAAACCCGACTTTTTGGATTCTTCGTGGGTTAGCTTAACCCTGAACCCTTATCCCTAAGCCTCCTTTTGAAGATTGTCGTTCCTCGAACTTCGGCTTGTGCAACAAGCAGAAGGGCCCTAGCTGCCCAGCCCAGCACCTCTACTCTAGGGGCTTACATACTTATCAACATTGTTCCTTAAATTTATAATGGGCCCCAACACCCTATTCTAATTATTAAGGCCCCTATATTCCTCAATTCAGGAAACCCCCTGTCTTACCCCTCGACCCTAAGCGTGAAACGCCTCTTATCCCTAGAGCGCCAACGTTTCATTGTCAGTTCTTCTTGTGACTATCGGTATTCTAAGCATTTTACACCCTCAAACCCCAAAACCCTCAAAACTCTCAAACCACTGTGGGGAGGGATCTTGGGCCTAGAGCCCTTGGGAGTAAAGGCCTTCTTTTGGGGCGGGTGTGTGACCATGTTTACGTTTCAGCGTCCAGGCTCAAAATAGTTGCCTTACTAATTAATTAGTGGGGGCTGTGTTGATTCGGAATGTTGTGGATCGCAAGGGTGCGTAGGCTTGAGGACCTTTGGGTGTGTCTGCGGTTGGGGATGTCATGGTAGACAGTTGAGGTTCTTGGTTTTAGAATGTAGGGGTTACGACTTGAGCGGTTAAGGATTTGTTGATGGTGGCGGGTGGAGATGTCGCCAAACTCTTACAGCTTTTGATCCGAACAGAGCGCTTGTCGTCTATTTTAAACAAAGGGGCTGAGAGGGGTAAACCGATAAACCTCCCCCTGGTTCTTCTCGCTCCCCCACGCGCATCTCTTGACTTAGGATCGCTTCCTGAGGAAGCAAATTGCAGAGGTCTTAATAGTTACTCATCATGTCCCCTTCTTGGCTCAATACAATAAACATGTGTAGCATGCCGCCCTCTTAAACTTTACTTTAACCATCACGGCTTCTACGTAATTCGTGCAACTATATGCCCTGAACAATCATACATCCCTTCGAATGGTTCCCCTGCGAGTAAACCCTGTCATACTCAAGTTGTCAACACTGCCCTAAACCCTAACCTTAAGTTCTACAACCTTAACAACTCGAGCCCCACATCCTCTGACCTAGACAACATTGCATCTCTGCGTCTCTGGGCAGCTTCTGAGCTAATGCAAGCCGCGGCCACAGCATGATATAGGGGCCTGAAAAATTAGAACATTGTTCTGGGACCCGTTATGTTATCAGTATAATAAAGGTGTAGGTGATTATTCAGGCCCCTACAGTAGCGTCGATCTCAAAGAGGTATCGTAAACTACGGACCCTTCAGCTACTACGGTACGAACTGATAGGTCTGAAGACCCCAAGCCCTAAACCCAAACACCAAGCGCTGAAACCCAAAGTCCTACATCCTGCTGAAGTCCACAAGGCCCTTGCAAAAATCCGTGTAGAACCCCACAAAAGCTTCCCTAAACCCTAAACCCCTAAACTCTAAACCGTGCTGTAGAGCCCAGAAAAACCCTCTAAAAGCCTAGGAGTCCGTGTCTGAAGCCTACGTGGCCTCGCTTCACTGGTCTCTCACCCAGCGCCTCGGTTCCAGGAGCTTTGTAAGTATACAGGGGTAGTTGTCAAAATTATGGCCCCTTTTTGGGTACCGTAGATATTAGGTGCCGTATTATAATACGGACCCCAAAAGGTACCATAAGTTTGACAACCACCCACATGGGGGGTTTTCCCAGAATTAGGGGCACCTTACTGAACTCGAGGCTCCATGGCATGAAATGGCTAGCCAGCGCCCATACATAGCACTGAAAGAGACTGGCACTGCTGTGGTCAATCATCGTTTTCATTCTCAAATTATTTGTCGGAATGCGCCGACTATGTGACTATATAGGCTAAGTTTAATGTTGTCCATGATCTCTGTCATTCATCATGCGCTGATAGCCTGTGAGATTGTCAAGCTTAGGGCTCTGCCTAGACCCCACCCCGAAACGTCCAGAGTTTTGGCAAGACCGTGAGGTTCACTCCCTCGACGAATCCGATCGCACCGGGAAATGCCTGGGAGAGGCCTCGTCGGTTTGGCTTTTGCTTTCTTCGGATGGGGCCCTCTGCAGCTCTGAGGTGCAGGGTCTGACATGAGGGCCGTATCAAAGCTATACCTATACCATAATGTACCCATTGCCCCATTTGTGATTCAGGCTAGTACAACCCGTGCTAAAGCAGAGAACCAAGACTGCGCAACTGACATCGTAACTCAACGCAACCCTGAAACCTGAACCTTGGCTCTGCAGGACGGGAAACTGAACACAAGAAGTGACCAGTCATTTATTGTGGACGTGAGGTTTAGACGTATGATATTCCACATGTTCTAAGGTTTAGCATGCATGGCTAAGCAAGTCTTGTGCCGCACGTCTAGTATGCATGTCAACGTACACGTTTATTTATATTTATATCCATATTTCTATTTATACTTATATTTATATTTATATGTGTGTATATATATATGTATATTCATATATGTTTAGATATATATATATATATAGATACAGACACATACATACACACAACCTGTGTCTGTGTGTGTGTCTAGCATGCGTGTACACTTGTGTGTATATATATATATACATTTACATACATTTACACCTAGATATGTATATGTGTTGGGATTTTGTGGTCGCGATCGTCTGCAGGTTTACGTTTTAACATGTGACAAATGTGCCGGCGTGCTTGTGTCGTAGTTTTGACGTTCGGTCGTATTGGAATGTCGTTGTTTGGTGCCTGGCCGCATCCCTGTACAAGAACACGTGTGTGTGTGTGTGTGTGTGTGTGTGTGTTTTGTGTGCATTTTTTCTGCACGGTTTCTTGTCTGCAAAGTTAGTATGTTTTATCATTTCATACGTCTACGCCTGTCAAGTTTCAATACGTGGAGGCAGATTATGCCTCAGACCGCCGACGCAATGCATCAATCTCTTCACAAGCTAAGCCTGGAAAATCAAACATCTGAAGACCAAGATGTAGGTTCTACGCCATTTGGGTGATTCTGCTCGCTATGGCGTGCCCTGGATCGATTTGCAAGGCTCTCCTAAGCTACACGCATTACAGTGAAGATCTTACCGTTCAGTGATGGAGCCTCACAGAGAAGAAGTAGGCTGTAGTATAGTGTTTGCGCAGCTCGGAATCTGACAGAAAACGGCAGGCGCGGTTGATCTTCGAAACGCTTCGGATTCGATGAGTTAAAGGTCAAGGATCATGAGGGCTGTCGAGTTTCAGAGGATGTTGTGATTTGAAAGTTGTTCAATCTGACATGTCGCAGGGCGAGCACTAAGAGGAACGAAAGTCGTGGTACTAGCAGTACTGCCGCGACCACCACTTTTGCCAACAACACTGCTCCTTTTCCTGATCCTTGCTCTGCTGCCCTCGCTACCGCCCCGAGAACCGCCATCCTGTAAGAGATATCTCCGCAAAGCGCACGGTTTTCCTCGCGTGACTCCGGTATTCCTTGGAGCTGAGAGAAGCTTCTTTCAATGGACGAGACACGCGGCCGAAGAAGAGGAGAGAACCCAACGGAGGCATTGGTTGGAGGCAGTCGGAGCAGTGGGAGTCCGTATATCAGTCGAGGCCAGTCGTGGGCACGGTGAGACATGCAAACCAAGCACTTCCCGGCCTCAGGGGGTCGGCGGATAGACAAAATCCTACTCTAGTTCTGAAGCCCCTACATTAGGTGCTTCTCGTCCTTCATCGGCTCCATCGGCACCACTTTAACCTCGATGCGCTCCGTGCGAAGAGAGCAGCTGCTGCAAGAGACCAAGCTTGAGGTGTGCCTCAGTCGCGATCCGTTTAACAGATAGGGGCTTCAGGGTTGGACTGTGGTTTTGGGGGATGTATGTTCTACTGCAATTAGAATAAAGGACCATCACGAACAGGATTGGTCAGTCTTCGGGCCCCTAGATCAAAATTATACAACTGCTTGTATGGAATTGTAGCAGGATGCTGTAGAGTCTTTCACTAGGCTCAGGACACTGATGACTTATTGCCAGTACCTGTTTTGTTATAGGGTTATGCACCCTAGCGATCGTCTTTATGGTGAGCACTGAGCACTATAGTGTTGTAATATGTGCTGCTACTTGCTGGCTTGCCATACAAATCGCATTGGAGGCTACATACTGTATTGTGCCAACCGATCTTCATGCAGAAGTGGATGCTCGCTTGGTCCGTCTTAGGAGCCAGAAAGCCCTAAAACCGCAAAAAGAAGCCAGCCTCTGTTTGGAGGGTTTCGGGTCCCGAAACCGTAAAAACCGCCCAACCCCCAAAAGCTAGGCCCCAAATTCGACCTGTTCGCGATGGCCTCCGAGGTTTTTCACTGAACGCAACCTCTCGCTAGACCTCTTCGAGAGAGCCGCTTGGCGGATTCAGGCTTCCACTGAGCTGTCTAATATAGGGGCCTATACTAACTACCTCTACCGTTGTAGGGGGGTTCCTTATTGTAAATATCGTATATGGGCCCGAAAACCCTATTCTAATTATTCAGACCCCTATATTATGGCCTTGAATGTTACTGGCGCTATTGCTACACTGACTGTAATTAGAATTCACTGGTGTCACTATGATTATGATCATTACTGCCGCTATTGCTGTTGTTATTTGTAGCCTTAGTAGTATTCATACTGCTACTATGTCGACTGGAACTACGAGTTTTTTTTATGTTACTCTGATTATCATTATTATCTGTGTTCTTTGGATTTTATAGTACGTTTGTTGTGATGCCTCCTATTGTTGCTACTCTTGTCTTGTTGTTCATCCAGGATATTCAGAGGAATGGTCTGTCATAACACTTCACCATGGCAAGAAACGTGCACAACAGTGCCACATTGTGATCCGAGACCATAAAGCCAGAATGCCCAGCCATGCTACGTTGGGCTTCTTGTCTAGTGCCAGCCTACTGTCAAATTTTCCGCGCCTCAGGCCAGAGCCTTCACGCACCTGCCAAATGGAAGTTTCCGAAATTTGGGGTACCTTTTCTTGGGGTCCTTATAATAAGGATCCTACTATTTAGGGTACCAGATACCATATTAGGGTCCCCCATTTTCGGAAACTCCCAAATCCGAAAGACCCATCCCCGAAGATCCCATCAACATGGGAGCCTCAATCCCATGAGCACTGTGCTGTCGGTGTTTAGGGTTTCGAGGCCCTGCAGGGGCCCTAATGTAGGGGCCTAAATAGTTACCAATATTATTGTCGGGGTTCCTTAATAAGACTATAGTGTAATATACTCCCAAACCCTATTCTATTTATCATTAAGGCCCCGATAGTAGATCCGTAGTGGCAGTTGCCGTCGGCATCCTCTGGGAAAGCCGAAGTCTAGAGCTGAACTGCGACGTTCTAAAGTAAGAGCCTTGAGATGAAGAACCCGGGCCTGCCTAAATAGTCAGCAGTAGGAATCATATACGCTTAGGAGTCCGTGGATATAAATATATGTCGAACATGCCCCAAGACCGTTTACCAAGTCTTAAGGCCCTTTGTTCTTGTCGCGGCTCAAGGTCGAAATTTCGGGTTTCGGGGCGAGGGACCTCGATCCTCCAGCTTCAGACGTTACCTTTCAAGAGAAGTCTACTACCACCACTACGACGACTATTACAACTGCTGCTGCTGCTACTACTACAACTAGTCTTGGCAGTAAACTCAGGAGGGATCACAAAGACATGAAGTGTGATCACTGCAATGGTGACAGCAGACCAGAGAAAACGAGTCGGGCGCCCGAAATAGTTCAGGAGTCGCGATCCTTCGGGAATCCAGATCCCTAAAGCACCGAGCCAAGAAAGACGGTTCACTTTACATATCCCGATTATGGAGCACATGTTACATACAAGTAGTAGATAGCATGTATGTAGGTATAGATAACTGACATGAAGCTCCTGAACATGATCTGCAAGTTGACGGCTCAGGTGAAGGGCGCACTCCAGCAGGATCAGAATTCTGACCCTACCTTACTTGCGAGTCTGTTACGGGTCCCTGCTACAAACGAAAGAGTTTCAGAGACTTCAGGGATTTGAGGGTCTACTCGTTTGCTGCAGCAGCTGTATACGAACTGTGTTCCAAGGGTTTTTTACACTGCATCTGAGTCACACTACCAGCTTACTACTGTCGTCGGCTATTCATGCATATTTAAGACCTTCCGGCATCATGGGTTCCGTTCGGAGCTTGAAAATCTAAACTTTTACAATGCAGATTCGCTGACGACCTGTCGGATGGGGGTCAACAGGCATGCTGGAAGCTTTGGGACTTGAAGCATCGGGCTAGCATGATGCAGAGCCTGTGGGGTTCAGGGGTGATTTCGTCTAAAGCCCGGGACCATCCTCGCAGTTGCGCCGCGGTCTTTGGATCTATTCCGATTAGAGACCACCTGGCAAAGTTGAAACGTTGAAGACAGACTTCTCCACGTCCCCATGTCCGCAGGACAAAATGGCAAGAACACGCCTGCATGAGGAAGAGGCGAGGCACTGGGTGGTCCGGAAAGTTTTAGGCAGCATAAGAACAGTCACCATTAGATGCTACGATCAGGATGATAAGGGCTTCGATTTGAAAGATCTGCAGACTCTCCCTCCCTCCCTCTATGGGCTTGGGGCGTTCTGAGGGGCCCGTTCTGAGTAGTTTTTTTCGTGAAGATGGAGATATCAGGGTTGAGGGTTTCAGGTGGCTTCTTGGGGGTTTTAGCCTTAATCTCGACCCGACCCCTGACTGATGGTGGCCTCTGTCCGACAAGGAGTCTGGGAAGGAAGTTCATGAATCAGGGGTCATGGGTTTCAGGTTCACGGATAAGGCTTGAAGGTCCAGACGCAAGGCTTAGGGAGCCAGAACCCATCACAGGACCTGAAGAACGCGTCTTATGGTTGAGCTGACGCTTACCCAGTGCACCCATTTGGCCCCATGACACCCACAGAATACCCGACAAACTCGCCGAAGTTCTTGAGCCATTCTAAAAGCGGTCATGCCAAAGTGTCGGGTTTCTGTACACACGTGAGTCATGAGTATTTCTTCTTCGGGCTAGAGCTGTTATAGGGGCCTTAATAATCACCTATACTATGTTTTTGTGGGGGATCCTTATTATGATTATAGGATCCCTCATAGGAGCCCTTATAGACCCCCTTTAAAGGAACCCTATTCTAATTTTCAAGGCCCCCATGGTAGGGAGCAATACCATGGTCGATGTCGGCTTCCCCCCTTTTGCACCTCACAAGACCCTTTACAGTAAACTTTTTCTTTCACCCATGGATCTTCCAGAGACGTGTGTGTATGCACAGATGTACATATGGGAGTTTCCGAAAATTCGGGGTACCTTATTTTGAGGTCCTTATAACAAGGATCCTACTATGTGGGATGCTACATCAGGGTCCCCTTATTTTCGGAAACTCCCATATGTGTGTGTGTGTGTGTGCGTATGTATATATATATATATATATACGTAGATACAGATATAGATAGACAGATATATGTATATATAACCCGAGGCCTAAAGCTTGAAAACCCCTTTTTTGGGAGGTCGTCCTCATCCAGGGCATCCCGGAGAGGATCAAACTGCAGCTGCACAAGGCCTGGACCCCGATTCAACGGCTTGGCTTTAGGGTTTGCTTGGAGGCCCTTTTGACTTAGTAAGTCTACTTAGTATCCCCTAGAAACCCTATTATAATCCCCATAACCCAGCTTACTAATCCTAGTTACTAAGTCAAAAGGGCCTCCAAGTGCTTCTGTGCATTCATATAGAGGTCCCTTTCGAGGGTTCCTTCAAAGGGCTCCATATAATGGCTACGAAAAGGATACGAGTGTGTAGGAGCCTTTATAATTGCCTACATTGTTTTGGGGGTTCCTTACTATTAGAACTGTTATTAGTATAGCATACTGGGCCCCACAACCCTATTCTACATATTAAGGCCCACATATTAGAGTTAGGGCTGTTTGGGTTAACGGCATTCTGGTTTGAGGGTTCAGGGTTTCGGCGTCAGTTCTGCGCTTCGGGTTTGAGGGTCTGAGGCAAAAGCCCACAAATTGATCATCCTTTGCGTTGGAAGGCGTTAGGATCTTCAGGGGGTGGCTTCAGGGTTGCGTATAAAGTGTCAAGCTCCGTGTGTTCAAGTGTTAGTGTGTGAAAGGGTTGTGTGGGTTGAGGGTTTTCGGACTTTGGGCTTACAGGATCAGGCGACAAGACAGACAGATAAAGGCTACTATAAAGTCCTATAAGGATTCTGTAGAGATTACTACGAGGGTTTGCATGTTCAGGGTTTTACACGCTTGAGTGGCTATCCAGGTTGCTACAGCAGATAAGACGAGACAGACTTATAACGCCTACTATAACGTTCTACAAGCCATATCACCCTAAACCTTGGAAGCCCAAATGCGTGTTTCAGAAAAGAAAGGTTTGATGGTTTCAAGCTTTGCAAGTTTGGGCTTTCAGGGCTAATCCTACCTTCCGCCGGTTTAGTGTTATATGTTTTGCTCTCACTGTTCATAACAGTTTGTCTTGCTCTCTCCATCTTCATTCGTCATATGACCAGCTGAAGGCCTAGAACCGAGGACGCGAAATACGAGTCTGTCATCTGAGCATGTCCACTCCCAAGACCTAGACAAGCTTCCACAATGAAATAGCTTGCGTATGCTTGCGTACTAACCTGAAGTGTCTCTGCTAGGGAGGGTCGCGTTCGCGTCAGGCGCCTTCAATTGATCCAGATTTCTTTGGGCTGCTTCTGAATTCGAATCTCACTGCTGGGACCCTTCGTCAGGTACCAGGCCCCTACACTTGATGCGATATGATGGCCTCGAGCTTTGGTTCAACCCTGTTCACGGAGTATTCTGAAGCCGCGTGTTGCACGGGACTGTGGCGAGAGCACGATTTCGGCACTTTAGCGGGAGCGCGGATTTACCGTTAGTTGAAGTGCATGATTGCGCAGACCTGCATAAGGGAGACGTGGAAGATCTGAAGCGTGTCCTTTAAAGCGACATGATTGTGCCCAAAGAGGGGCGGCAAAGACCGACAATGTTCAGAAGCAAAAAATCTTGATTCGAACCCACCGCATAAGAAATTGTACCTTCAAAAGTTTTGGTGTCGGTTCCGGCAACAGTTGCGATGCAATGGAGACATGCTTCCGCGCAGCAAGATTGAGCAAGCGGTGTCTTTTAGACTTGAACCGCACGCCGGTGCATCTCTTCTGGGTTCAAGGTTGGAGGCGCATCCCTGCTTAGGATCCTGTATGAATCGAAAACGAAACCGGTCATGATGTGAGGAAGATTAGTTGAATAAGCGAATCTATCGCGCGCTCTAAGATGCATGGATTGTCTCTAGAAGGTACCAAGGCTCCCTCACGACGTAGGGTTGGTTTGGGACATTTCGGACTTATGGGACGGGTCGCCATTCAAGACAGCATTGCAATCATCGTCATGTTGTCATCAACATGCGCACACGTTGGGTGCCAAGCGGCCTGAAGTCAGGCCCGTCCTGCCAACAACCGCACCAAAGCCATCGAATGGACGGTCACAAAATTTCCATTGTGAAAAGTGTTTTATGCCCCAATCTTAGCGTCCTTGCTAGAGATGCTTCCGAATCGTGAAACCTCAGCAGCCCAAAATGGTGATTTCTCCGAGGATTTAGGCAACAAATAGGTAATCTCGAGCGTCGGGATATAGATGTTCCGTTCCAGGCCTTTGGAATCTTCGAATCTGGGCAATTCTTTGTCGAACGGCCTCATATCCCAAGACCCCAAGCCTTCTCACCCGAAAACCCCAGACGTAAACCCAAAAGCCCTCCCGTCCTTACATCCTGAAACAACTTGAAGCCCTAAAAACTCCCCAAGGTAACTAAAACCCGGAACCCGCACGACATTGAATCCTGAAACCTTGAACTTTAACTCTGTGCGGTCTAGGATGTTGACTGTTTTGCGGTGTTCCATGTCTATAGCTTCCTTTCTGTATAGCGTGCACCAGACCACACATAGAGCCATGGTAGGTGTTAAGACTGGATGACGCTGATGATGAAATGGATAGAGCTGAAATACACGTAACTGAACTGCGGCCTGTACAGTTTAAGACTACTCGCCACTTTCCCAGGAGATAACAGCAGGACCAAGAACCAGGAATCGCACCGGATATGCCTAGCAAGCCTAGCTGAAAGGATCAAGGGATTTAGCAAGTAGGGTTATGAATATGAAAACTACACTTGTGCGTATTCATAACACTTAACTATTGTCTTACAACTACCTACGACTACACTTGCAGCTACGCGTCTGCAACCCATAAACCCAGACCGCGGGGAGGATCTAGAAAGTAGATCCCCCTAACTTGGATTCTAATTTTGGGCGCTATACTACTAAGGGTACTTTATAGGAACCCCCATGGAAGAGGAGATGTTCCTTCGGATCCTCTTTCAGCTCGAAATCTGGCCAGTCTGGACGCGGAACGACGCCGATCTGCATTTCAGGGCGGGGCGCGGGGCTGTTGGGTTTAGGGTCTATAGGGGTTCAGGGTTTAGGGGGGTTTAGGGGTTTAGAGGTTCAGGGTTTAGGGGTGTTTAAGGGTTAAGGGTTTACGGTTTAGGGGGGTTTAGGGTAGAGAACAGGGGTTCGGCGGTTTTGGAGGGCTCAGGGTTTGGCGAAGGTTGAGTTTGGCTTTGAAGTCTCCCTGAGTTTCTTGCTCTCCGCTTTTCCCTCTGACGCATTCGCATTTCCTGGTTGTGGACCGGGTTTGGGGTTGAGGTTCCCAGAGACTCCAATATCCCTTAGTTAAGGAATATACCTTAAATTATAGTAGGATCCCTAATATGATCTAAGGTATACTCCTTAACTAAGGGATATTAGGATCCCCTAAACCCTGTAGATCCCTTATAGATCCCTGAAAGGAGCCCTAGGCTCGAGGTATTCCTTAATTAAGGTATATTGGAGTCTGTGGGTTTCAGGGATTCACACAGTGTTTCCAAGCGGCTTGGAGGGTCTGCTCGGCCCAGCTTTGTGGTGATACCGGCCCAGACCCCGGGGAGGATCTAGAAAGTAGATCCCCTAATTGGGATCCCTATACTACTAAGGGTACTTTATAGGAGCCCCCATTAAGAAACCTACTTTTCTGGGGGGTCTTGGTGGGGGAAAACGGCGGCCGCCCCAAGTCTATCGTCCCGACTCTGCGTCACTCGGCCCCCACATGCAAGCCGCGACGAGAAGGCAGAAGCGGGTCCAGCAGGCCATGACTCTAAGCGAGGAGGAGGAAGATACCAGCACGGACACTGAAGAACGAGCTTCGAGGCCTCCGGCCGAAGTTCATTCTACACTGTTCTACACGATGTGTTGGCCTTCGGGAGGGAAGTAGGGTTTCAAGATGAGGGGCTTTCTCTTGCGGGATCGTGGCCACCACCGCACCACGTGGAATATAGAGAGTTGAGTGACCGAAACCTAGTCTGATCTCCCGGCACGCCTGAGGACATGGATTTCCTGCAGCACTTGTGTGGCCTGGCGGATGTTATGCGAAGAGTCGAACTTCACTTACTTTGTTTGGAATTTTGTTTAGAACATGGCTTTCGGCGTGGAGAAGGGACGGTAGAGACGGTACATGACACCCTTGTCGAAAAAGTTTGTATCTATTAATCCTGAGCCCGGAATAGTATGGCTTACATTTTCACTACGTTATCGTTATGTTTTTCTTAGTCTCTGCGCGTGCTTCGTTCGTATCTTATTGCACGGTTAGTTTCAGCAACAGCAGTACTGATGCTTCGAGCTTGGGGTTTACAACAGGCCAAGTTTGAGGTGTAGGGAGCAGCTGCTGATGGCTGCAGCTCCCGGATTTGTTTCAAGGATCCCGGACGGATAGTCATATGTCGGAGGTTTTCCAACTGAAGCGATCGCGAGCAAAAGGCCTACAGCTAGTTTGCACTTCAAAGCCAGCTTATGACCATCCATGGATCTTCAGTCTATACGTGTCTATAGTTCAAGGTGAATAAAAGTCTGCTCGTCGCTACCGATGAACCGAAAGGCCCAAGCATTCCGAGACTCCCTGACTACAAGTCCTGCACCACACTTTAGGAACACCGAGGCCACCACACCATGTCCGAGCATACGTCGAGACCCGGGCAGGCCTTCCGGGAGAGCTGAAAGTTTCACTAAAGCCGCGTCGGCGTCCAGGTTGGATTCGGGCAGGGATTTACAGTCCAGAGTCTTGAGAACCTAAGGGCCCCTATACTAAATCCTTACAGTATCCCGTATAGCAAACCTAGTAGGACCCTTTTTACGAAATTCTTAAAGGAGCCCTGTTCTAACTATTAAGGCCCCTTTAGATCCCTTATAGTAACCCTTATCGTAAACCTATTCTAATTATGAAGGCCCCCTACAGTATCTTCATCCCCGGGCCTCTTGCACTCTCTAGTTTTGGTAGAACCGAACCGAGGCATCCTGAGTTCCGGACCGTGGTCACGATCATCTTCAAAACCATCACAACGCCGAACCCTATGCAGCCATAACTGGAATAACAACATTAACAACAATAATCATAAGCATCGCCATAACAAGAATATTTAAAACAGTAGTACTAGTTAGTATAATATGACAATGGCTAGTTGGCCTGGTTGCACGACCTCAATTCATAATAACAAGAATACTTGTAAAAAATCATACATAGCCAGCCTGGTTGCACGACCTCAATTCCTAAAACCCCCTTGCCTGTCGCCGGTTCTAGTTCGGCCCCAAGTCGGTTTCTTCTCAAAGTCAGCCCAGACTGCGCTCGAACCCGAGACTTTTGGGGGCATAAAGAATTACCTATACTTTGGGGGGGGGGGGTCCTTATTATAGTTTTAGTGTAATAAGGGTTTAGTTCAATAAGGGAGCCCAAAACCCAATTCTGGGGCATAAACAACTACCAAAACGGTACTGTAAGGCTTTAGTGCAGTCTAGTAGAGGGGCCTGAATAATTACCTGTACTGTTTTGGGGGGTCCTTATTATATTTATAGTACGAAGGAGCCCAAAACCCCACACGGCCGAACTCCAGGATATTTTCACGGGGTAGGGGGAGGGGGATGGGGGGGAGGAGGGGTTCCTTTATCCATGCTTAATCCTTCAATAATCATTCCTGCTGGGGAGGATTAGTGGATTGCTATAGGATCCTTTGAGGATTGCTAGAGGATTTAGAAAGGATTATGATTATCGTGGGATTAGCGAAGGATTAGCATGGGTTTGGGAATGGATACAAAAGGCATGTTTAGAGGGCTGGGATTTAGGGTGGGCGGTCCCCAAGGATTAGCCTCGGATTAGCCTAGGATTACCCAGAGGATTAGCCTAGGATTATCCTGGGATCCCCTTAGAGGGCTGGGATTTAGGGTGGGTGGTCCGGGGATTAGCTCAGGATTATCTTAGAAGATGACGCCAACTACGGTAAGGGAGAGGGATTATGTGCGCGTATGTATCTATGGAAAAGGCATGGATTACAAGAGGGTTTGCACTTCCCCTACAGTGATTATCAGAGGATGAAGTATGGATTAGCAAACCCCCCCTCCCCCTTATCCCCCTCCTCCCACTCCGTGATATTTTCATGCCTCGCAGTAAAGAGTCATGGTATCCTCTTAAGCCCCCCACAAATTAGAGTTGGCCGGAGTCCAGGATATCTTCATGCCCCGTACGGAGTGCTTCCTCGTGACTTGGCATCACTTTCTTGAAGCACTCCTCACATGAAAGGGCCTTAAGCCTCTGCGAATAGAAGGCCCTCGGCTCACGGTCCCAAATGGCGGCTGCAGGGAATCAGGGACCCCTTGGTGTAACAAACCCTAGCTTTCCAGTGTCTAGCGCAGGGGTTCGGATTTCGGGTCAGCTAACGGCTTTGAGTGTGCGATTTCGACTGACTGGAAAAGGGTTGAAAGCTCAGGCAGAATCGCACGGTTGTTATACTTAGACATAGGCTCCGTGCTGTGCAATTCGAGATTCGCGGGATCATAGACACCTAGGACATGTGACCAACATCTTGACATGAGATCGTCAACTGTTGCTTTTCATGATTTCGCCTCTACGCGTCCTAACCCATAAGAATCTCCTTCACCTTGGGTTCTACGCTTCTATACCCGTAGTCACCTCCCTGTAAGCACCTCTCGACCTCGGTCTGAGTCACTCTCGACTCAAGTTTAAGCCCGGGTAGGTCCCTGAACCGGAAACCCTCACCGAACTTAGGTCTACGTGCTTGAAACCGGCTCTTTGGAGTATTTTGCGCCTGGTCCGAGCCAGCTTTTCCTGAGTCTTCGGCCGGTGCTCCAGTGGAGTCTGCTCGGGTGTCATTCGCGGCTACTGCTCCTACTCGTACTTATCATCGTATATGCAGCTGCAGGAGGAGGAGGAGGAGGAGCAGCAGCAGCAATAGTCGTAGGGACAGGAGCAGCAGTAGTTGTGGCAGTGGTAGTGGTATTTCTCCGCTAGTTTTGTTGTGAGTATATCGGCTGCTTCGAGTCTTCGCGGAAATGGTAATGAACGGCTTCGGAAAAGATAGACAGCTTCTGGTGTGCAAAGATCAGCAGTGCTTTGGCCGCGCTGACTAGCTAGAAGAGGCTCTACAGCCAGAAAACGATGCATATGTTCTTGTGAACCATCCACAGTGAGCAGACCGAGACCAAACAAAACCCATTTGACTCAGGCTCCTGTGGACCGTTATTGTGAAGGTTTCTTAGCACAATGCCTATTCGGGACCGGCGGGTTAGTTTTCCGGCGTCTACATGATTCTTGCAACACAACATAACTGGCAAGCTAGTCTAGCATCGGGGCTTCAATCATTGCTACCATGATTGTGATGACTACTGTAGTTGCTCCCCGTACATCCTCTTAAACAACCAACTATGGACAACAAGCACTGAAGATTATACCCTTGTTGAGTATTCAGAATGCTGCGGTTTCGGAGAAGCCCGGAGAGTCCTATTCCTCTTCCTGAAATAGTGTTCCTAAATCCGAAACCAAAATTCAAGAGCTTTCCTCAAACAGAAGTATGGGGATTCTTCGGAGGGGTTCCTTAAAGTCGGCTTCGTCAAGGTGCAAAGCCAGCAACCCGTGCACTGCACGGAGACTTCCAATGCTGTCCTTTGCTCCCTGGCTGCATGATGCGCACGATCTCACTTGACTCGGGAGACGAGAGAGAACATCAACTGGCGTACGAGCCTGTCAAGTCTACTTGGAGGGCCGGGGTACTGAGTAAGTAGGTAGTAAGTAGACTTATGAGTACCCTAAAAGGCACCCTAATTGGGGTTATGGTACTTATAAGTCCCTAAAATAACCAGTTACTAAGTCCCCCGACCCTCCAAGTAAACCCTGGAAAATTGATTAGAAGATACCCCGATGTCGTTCTTGTCTCGGAGCACTTAACTCGAAAACTGCAGAATCCTCCCAAAGCCCTAAACCCCCCCGCACCCGAAACCCATGAAACGCTCACGACGTACCCGACCGAGGCGCACGCCCAACTCCCCGAGCCCTAAACTTGGCCGATGCCCCACGGCCTTGGAAAGTAGTAGTAGTAGTAGTAGTAAGTAGTAGTAGTAGTAGTAGTAGTAGTAGTAGTAGTAGTAGTAGTAGTAGTAGTAGTAGTAGTAGTAGTAGTAGTAGTAGTAGTAGTAGTAGTAGTAGTAGTAGTAGTAGTAGTAAAGTAGTAGTAGTAGTAGTAGTAGTAGTAGTAGTAGTAGTAGTAGTAGTAGTAGTAGTAGTAGTAGTAGTAGTAGTAGTAGTAGTAGTAGTAGTAGTAGTAGTAGTAGTAGTAGTAGTAGTAGTAGTAGTAGTAGTGGTAGTGGTAGTGGTAGTGGTAGTGGTAGTAGTGGTAGTGGTAGTGGTAGTGGTAGTGGTAGTGTAGTAGTAGTAGTAGTGGTAGTGGTAGTGGTAGTGGTAGTGGTAGTGGTAGTGGTAGTGGTAGTGGTAGTGGTAGTGGTAGTGGTAGTGGTAGTGGTAGTGGGTAGTGGTAGTGGTAGTGGTAGTGGTAGTGGTAGTGGTAGTGGTAGTGGTAGTGGTAGTGGTAGTGGTAGTGGTAGTGGTAGTGGTAGTGGTAGTGGTAGTGGTAGTGGTAGTGGTAGTGGTAGTGGTAGTGGTAGCAGCAGCAGCAGGAGTAGTAGTAGTAGTAGTAGTAGTAGTAGGAGGTGTTGGGGTTTCCTCGTATAGCTATAACATGGAGGCCGCAAATCCCAACCCTGCAGCCACAACCCGTGAAAAGTGCTCGCCAAAACCTGAAAAGCTAAACCCTGAACCCTACGACAAAACTTTATTCCTCTACAAACTTCTAGCATTACTATTGTTATTATTGTGATTAGTAGCAGTAGTAGTAGAAGAAGAAGTTGAAGTTGTAGTTGGCAGTGGTGGTGGCAGTGGTGGTGGTCGTGCTGGCGGTGGTGGTGGCGTTGTTGTTGTTGTTGCTAGTAGCTCTCGCCCTAAGAGGCCCGAATCCTAAATCCGGTATCCTGAACCCCAAACCCCAAACTCAAAAAGCGTCCCAAGGTTTACCAAGCTTGTGGGCCGAGTGGCAGCACGCAGCCTGGAAGCACCGAGGAACGGAGCTTCAGGGTTTCTCCAGGATTCCATAGACTGGACGGCTCAAGGTTGGAGTTTTGGTGTGTAGTGTGGGCTTTTCTGGCATGTTGTTATTGGCTCTGCCCCAGCAGTTGAGGTTCAATTAATTGCGGGGTTGGGGATGTCACCGCGAGGTTTTGTGGTATGTCTTTGGGCTTCTTGATAGGGCATCACGGTTTAGAATCTTTGCGCGAGGTTGTCCTAGTCGAGGTTCAGGAAACGGATCAAGAGTCGAGTTGGTACGATTTCGGATACGTGTTCGTATGGTGGTGGAAAGAGCATCAGCCTCTACAACACATCCCAGAACAATGGTCATGGTAGTAATCCGCCTGGAACGCACAGCAAGAACAGAAAATGCAGACCGGAAGACATACCTACGCGAGTGGAGCGATGATGAGGAGTACGACAACGGTGATGGTGATGGCAATGATAGTATGCATGATGTTGATGACGGCGACGGTGGTGATAACGAGAATACGCCTATTGAGGAGGGTAACCGTGATGATGATGAAGCTTGGTAGTGGCGAACGCAGTGGTGGACACGATACATCATCTGCTTCCGATCCGTAGATCCGCTGAAATCGTATACAGCCGTTGCCGAAAGTTTACTGGATTTAGCGTGTAGGGGTTTCGACTGTGAGGTTGGTCACTTGACCGCCACCTTCGGTACCTGCTTCTATGTCGGCATCGACTGTCAACGGTGGCTTGCCGTGCGAGTCGTGAGCATCATTGAACAACACTGGTGCGAGAATTTCTTCCAGACATTTCTGGTAGGTCTTCGAGTCTTCGGTTGCCGGCTCTTTGGATTTTTTTTGGCTTCCGCGTCACCCGAACAGGGCTTGAAGTCGAACTCTGTTTGGCTACCGGCTACGCTGTTATTGTCCAGAGATTGGGCTTGTAACAAGTACGCAGTATTCGCATGCTATAGGCAGTCGAGGATCCGAAAGACTATCAGGAACTGTCTTTGGTGCACAAGAGCTTGGATTGTTGAGTTTTCAAGGGTCCCCAAGTAGGATCGAGGCAACAGTGACTGCCACACTGGTAGCACCGAAAAGCAGTAGCAATCATCTTGCATCAGCATTTACAGCAGAAAAGAACAAAGAAAGCGGACTGTAGAACGTCAAGCAACCCGGCAAGAGACAGGCACGACGAAAGACAGTATTAACCTGTACATGCATATAAGTTCAAGTATACTCCTTGAAAAGAAAAGTGAGGTTAAGAATCGAAAATTCACTCTTGCGGTTTTTCATCGTCGTCATCAGCGGTGAAGATTGAACAGCAGTGCTAGTATTAGTACGACGACAGTCACGATAGCAGTAAGCCGCCAAATCATTTGCAATATAGTCCCCCAAGCCTGAAGTAAAGCTAAAACCACAGCCCTTGAAGTCCAGACTCCAAACTGCTGTTGCATGTTGGGTGTTTGGGCATCACACAAACGGCAGCTTGGAGGTCTCGAGGTGTGCTGCATTAACGTGTCGTGCAACACAGACTGTAAGAAAGTCAATGAAGATGTCCTCAGACACGAGCACCGCCAGCAATAAAGGTAGGACAGCTATGCTCGTCGTAGCCTTAGCAAACGTCCGGTATAGCGATAAAGCACCTGCAACCATGTGATCTTCTGTTCCGCTTCGCAGAGCTTGCCAGATGCCATTGCGATTCAGTTTCCGGTATCTGGGGGTGAGCGTGTTCTGCGCACACCACGGCGCAAGACGTGTGTCATTGCATCTCCTGCTTCATAAGGAAAGCCTGCATGTATGCAGTCAGATAAATTAGGAGATAATTGCAGAGGTATACGCATTACTCGAGGCATCTCGAGCCCCCTGCATGTGCAATGACTAATGCGTGAATCTGTATATACACAAACATATATACATGTATACAGATATACAGATATAGGTATATACATATACATATATATATATATATATATATGTATTTATCTATTCAGTATGCAAATACGTATCCACGCTTAGAACCCTTAAAATGTCAGTCGAGGTTTTGCGCCCTCGCTGCAAACTTCGGAGGCCCACTTTGTGCCTGGGCATCGCCCAAAGTATCAGACGACAACAGTGAAGCAGTGGCTCTCAAGTGCTGCATCATCATACCGTTACATCATGAGACCTTCGGATCATCATGATTCTAGACATGAGCACGTATGACCTGTCCTATGCCCTACTGTTAACATCAGATACCAGATCATGCCACGTCCCCCTTTCCTCTGTCGTAGCAAATCATCATCACAAGTAGCAGCGTTGTCGAAATCGTTGTTGCCGACGTCACTACAGTACAACTTTCATCCCAATCTGACTCAGCATCATCATCCTCACACTGCACAGTCCGACCTTCGCCCTGCAGATTCTCTTCAGCTTTCGAATCCGCGACATCATTCTTTCTCAGCTGCTTCCCCCCCCCGCCGCCCCCCCCCGTCCGGAGATGTGACACTGGTTGTTGTTCAACCCCAGTTCCGATCCTGCCGGCATTGGAGTTTCATTGTTGGGCAAGTCGTTGGTCCGGTTCGGCACCTGGTGCAGCAGATCAGCTCCGGAGTCCTTAGAGTCTGGTGGATACAGGGGTGTCACAAGTTTCCGGCGGCTAACACCTCACAGCGGCACTGCGATCATTGGAAGGCTCCCTGAACTCGCGAGGAAAGCCCTTGAACCAGGTCAACAATCAGGAAAGCTGCTCAGAGATCAAACTTTGTCTTAAATTAAAACAAAACAGGCAAATTTATGATCAGTAAGGGGGTCCCTTGAGATCCCTTGAATCTTTCGGGCATCAAGGCGAATACCTCAAGGTCTTGGGCATCCTCCTGCTCGGCCAAATTGAAGCCGCGCAGGCATCCATAGGGTTTTGGGAGCGTTGGGTGTTGGTTGATACTGCGGTCCTCTTCAAGACGCTTGTTTGAATGAGGGTATGCCAAGGCTGACATCGACCACAATTTGCAATGAATTCGACTCGAAAGTACGAATATGTTGACTGCACCTAGATGCGACAACTATTGCTGATAGTAGCCATACTACATGGTTAAGCCTATTGGTAAAGACTATTGCGATGCGAGCTTCGGTATGATCAAGCTGGGACGGTTACAAACACAGAATCAGAAACAGACATCGACCCCCGATACGCATAGCTTTGACCACAGCGATTTTCAAACAAGAAAACCTAGTTCTTGCGTCTCTGTTGCCAGAGCAGACTGCAACGTAAACGACTGTATTGCCCGGCAACTACACAATTCGAAACGAAGCTCGAGCCCAAAACTGAGCGCATGCTCATGGAACAGCCATGTGAAGAGATGGTAGAATTTGCTGAAGCTGAAACACAGACGCTGCTTTGATCAACACTACAACCAAAGGCGGACCCCAAGAACTTGCAGGACCCCTAGGTATATACCCTTAATATAGCTATTATATACCCTTAATATAGCTATTATATACCCTCGATACAGCTATTACATACCCATTATAGCCATTATATACCCTTAATATAGCTATTATATACCCTTTATAGCCATTATATACCCTTAATATATCTATTATATACCCTTTATAGCCATTATATACCCTTAATATATCTATTATATACCCTTTATAGCCATTATATACCTTTAATATAGCTATTATATACCCATTATAGCCATTATATACCCTTAATATAGCCATTATATACCCATTATATAGCCCATTATAGCCTAGGGTAGGGGTCCCCATTATGTCTTGTGGATATGGGCTTCAGGAAGTTTCCGGATCCTCAACCCCAACAGTCTGGGTTTTCAACCATAAACCGTAAAACCCCTGAACCCTTTGACTTATATCCCTAAACCCCAAACCCTAAACCCTTATAACTTATATCCCCAAGCAACAAACAGCAAGCATGGAGCCAGTCATTTCATGCCCCGGCCCCCGGGATAAGGTGTTCAGAGCATTAGCTGAGTGTTGAAGGTATCGGGTCCTGCTCTAAGCTCTCCTTAGGGGTTCCTTTGAGGGGTCCTTCCTTAAAGGGGTGCTTTCCCGGTCCTACAATAGGGTCCCCCTTAAACGGGGACTATAGGGTTCTGTTGTAGAGTTCCCTCTGAAAGACACTCCAGGCTTCTATAAGAGGGTCCCCTTTAGGGGGGGAGGGGGGGTAGGGTTATTAGACCCTTCTCAAGTCCTTATTAGACCTACCCCCGCTCCCTCTTAGCCCCCTTAAAGGGCCCCTATGCCTGAGGCACTCAATCGGGGCTTGTCTGGTTCATCCCAGAGCCGGAGACGGGACCCTCACGAAGTAGCAGTACGACCAGTGCCCGCATAGCCCTAGTCTATGGGGGGGGATTATGTGGCATGGCCCCCGCTAGGCTTCTTTTAGCAAGTAGCCTACACGGATTACTCAGGGTTCGATATCAGGGTCCCGCATTTTTCTGAAGCGCATATGCATCGCAACACTCAGTTCAAACTACTTAGGCGAGCCCCATGAGATGCAATTACATGATCCATTTTCTACCCTACATGCCAAAAACCCACTGCAAAAAGGCAATGAACCTGGTCATCACGGATACTTGGCTCTGTTCTGGTTGGCTGTTAGGGCTTCGAGCTTCTATGCTACCAAACGTTTAAATTCAGCGTTTAGGCTTTACATGTTTAACCGTGTGGACGGACTCAGAAGTCAGCCCAGGATATCTCTGTCACGACCGACATCAACGTTCGCGAACTCTCGGAGCGTGCCGAGGGCTTCACCTCTCTAAGAGAGCCGCTGGGTGGCCTTCTACTCATGAGGGGTTGCTTGGGGATTCAGGTGCCGATAAGGTTTTCTTACAGAACGTTGCCATCTTATTCAGGATGCAGAAAACCCTGCAAACTGCACAACGAAATGTAAGTTAGAGTATGTTACCCTTGGCCGTCATCTCTGCATCACTCCGCGAGGCATTTGCTCAACCACTCGGACAGTCAAGTTCGCTCTGAGACTCGCGAAAGCTTCGAGTCAATGTCAGAAGATGCCGTTGAAACGCGGGAGCACGTCTGACAGCTTACCGTCTCGGGTGCTTGAACCGAGTTGTAGCCAGAAATGACGTAGATAGACTCATACACCTACATAGGCATCTCCGATGCATCTACAAATGCATAGGGCATAGGCATACATTGCATACAACATCCAGGTGGCACGTTGGGAAACTTTTTAATTTCCCTTATGGTTCCTATAGAGGTACCTAGTCATAAATCCTTTTAAGGGCCCCTAAACCCTAAACCCCAAACAAAGAGTTATGAAACTTCCAAGATCCAAGCGGGCCCATCCTCCGACGCGGAGCCTGTGCCCTGTTGTGAACCGTAAGACATGCCCCGTCCTGGATCACAGTACTCTGGGGGATTTTGGGGTTTAGGGCTTTATGGTGCTTTCCACGTGGGACGGTTGCGCCAGTCTAAATTGCTTCCTGCCGACGTTCATGCCTTCTTTGTGCGCCAGGGTCTCGGTGAACAGAACTTGTTTGAGACTCCCAGATCCCAAAAATCGTAACATCATGCCAGTTTACAGTATGCAGTACCTATGATGCAGGGACCCATAGTGACCATACCAACATTAAACTCCCGGGCCCCACGTCCAGTCTCCTTGCACAACGTCGAAGAAAGCAGCACCAGAGACTTCAATCGGTCACTTTACATAGGGGTCCCTTTGAAAGGATTCCTGTTACAATTTGCCACGAGACATTGAAGTCTCTGAAGTTCTGCAACCAGCAAGACAGCTCGAGCGGGTTCGCAAGCAAAGAGAGGTCTGAGATGCTCCGAAGGTCAGAACGGAATGAACCGTTGGATTTAGGAGCCTGAATAATTACTTAAACTACTTTTTTTCTTGGGGGGAAGGGGGGCGTTCCTTTAAAGGGCTCCTTTGCAAGGCTCCTTTAAGGGATCCTATCTGGGTCTAGAAGGGTTTAGCAAAGTCTAGTATAGGGGCCTGAATAGTTACCTATACTATTTCGGGGATTCCTTGTTTGAAGTATAGCCCAAAACCGTATTCTAATTGTTAAGGCCCCTAGAGTACCCTGGAGGTAGAGACGCTTTGAGGGATAAACAAGAGCCCCGTCAGCGCTAGCACAGGTACCTTAGATCTGCTATCAGGGAGAAGGGATGTCGGATGTCTAGCATGCATTTGGGGAAGCCCAGGAAGGCTTCAGGTGGTGCTTGCTCCAATGATCTCCTACAAGAGGTTTGAAACACTGGGCTTTGGAGTACCATACTTTAATACTTTTTTCGGCCCTGTTACTGAAAGGAACCCATTCTGAAATGAAAGTCTCCACTTGTTTCTCCCTGGCTACTTCAAAGCCCAGTGTAATGACTTAGTAGTTTAGTAGCAGACCGAGCGGGATCCAACCCTTGCTTGTTTTATTGAGGGTTTAACTGAAGAAGCCCCGACTTCCCAGAAACAAAGCTGCACCCCGAACCTCTCAGAATTTCTCCTTCAGCCCTGCAACCCTACCCGACCCTAGACTCCCCTAAAGCCTGAACGAAAGAGCCTCAAAAGAGCCCGGACTCAATGCCAGGGAGCGCGAGATGAAAATCTGGCTGAGCAAGATGGTGCCGGGCCCAAGAGAATCCCAGAACCCAAGAACCAGAGGTGCTGGGATCTTCTTAGGGCTTCAATGCGACATACCAACACTTGGGGCTTGTTAGGTCTATCAAGAGTTTCAGGGTGCGAAGGTTGGTGAGAGGATAACGGTTGGGCGACAACAGGGTAAAAAGAAACGGAATTGCCAACATCAGCCCCGGCAAGGTAAAGGCATAGCTACAAGACTGGTAATTGTTCCCACAGTAAAAAAACCGCAATTAAGCTGCTGACCACCCTACTCAACTACTCAGGTCCCTTCAAAGAGGGTCTGAGAATTCGACTATTCACGGCTGCAGGTCGTGGTCTCCGAAGAACTCGCGCACACCCAAGAGACTTCCCTGATAGTACCCTTATTCACGTGACTCCCGCGATGGAAGATGGAAAGAGATATGTACTCAGCCCGAATACAGAGCCCTGAAACCTAGGATCCTTACTTTATGGGGGTGTCCTTGCGCGGTAAGAGCCCGAGTGTAAGCGAGCGGGGCATCCTTGTTACGAAGGCCCTCTCAGAAACAACCCCCAAAGTTGGAAGAACCCACCGAAAATCTTGAACTTTGAAACTTCTGAAGTCTTGAACCCCTACTCACCCGAATCCCAAGACTAAAGCCCCTAAGCCCTGCAGGCCTGAGCCACCCAGATTCCCAAGCTTTTAAGTCCCCAGGATCAGCTCCAGACACTGCAGCACCTGCAGGCCGTCAAGGGGGTCTCGAGGGTTGGAAGGACCTTAAGCGCCTGACTCTACATGCAGACTTACATATATCTATATGGTATAGATAACCCAGACAAAGTTAGCATATATGTAAATATATATGTAAACACATACGATGTATGTGCTTACACTCTTCGTGCACATCCATCCTCAGTTGCTTCATGTGGTGTTGTTTATTTGCGTCTATTGTTTATTCGGTGTTAGTGCTGTACTTGCTCATCTCTTCAGCTTCACCTTTAACGGTTTGCGTTTCGCTTGGTTGCATTGTTTGAAGCTTCCATGTATTCGCATTTGTCTTTATGTCCCTGCATTTGTTCTGATTGCTCTGTATATAAGTATAAATACATATATGTATACTTATATATATATACACACACACATACATATATGCGCGTGTATCTATGTATGAGGTGTACACAAAGTCATGTAGAACAGAAAGAAAGAGACTAAACGAACAAGAACAAGAGAGAGAGAGAGAGACAGAGAGAGAGAGAGAGAGAGACTGGGCTCGGGGTGGTGTTCTTCTCTTCAAGGCAGGTTTTGGGTTCTCGCTTTCGGGGAATTTGTAAGCACTTGTTTGTTGCTGTCCCGTCGCCCATGGCAAGGCTTGCAAAGACCGCGAGCTGGTGTACTTGCGTGTGGCCACTGGGCAAGCACAGCCCTAGAAGGATGACCGGGGCTCTCTCTCTCTCTCTCTCTCTCTCTCTCTCTCTGTATATGTATGTATACGTATATATGTATTTACATATACATATACATGTACGTATAAAGGTACAAGCACACACATGGTTAGACTAGACTTGGTTGGATTAGATTAGATAAACAAGCGCAAGCGGGTTGCCTAAAACCCGAGGGGTGCCCCACGTCTTTGTACTAAGGATCTTCCTGCTTGGGATCAGTGTCAGGATCGTTGATTTTTGGAACCCTCCATAGGTTGATTGGCACATCCCCTGATCCGTTGAGTGTCTCCACCGACCCTGCTGAACGCCGTCCTGCCTACGATTATTCATGGGGTTGATCTGGCTTAATCAGGCTCTCGTATTAGTAACAGGAGCAGCAGTGTTCACAGTAGCTGTCGGCGTCGCCGTGCTCGGAGGAGGAGGAGAAGAGGAGGAGCAGCAGCAGCAGAAGTACTGGCAGATTCTTGTCACTGCTTTTCCTGCTCAGCTGGTGTTTGTTCTGCTGACTCGTCGTATCCTCACTTGCTGTTCTTGCAACCGTCTCCGCTTCGTGTTTGTTATTGTCGAACATCAGGGCTTTGGCGGAGAGCCGGGACAGCACTCAATTCCTAGGGTTCTGGCGTCGTAGCATAGATTGAGAGCCAATAGTTATGACAGTAAAACTAAACTTACTAAACTGCATTCCTCGTGGCAGGCAGCAACGCAGAGTCATGACATTCACTACCGACAGCGGTTCTATCATGTTGATCATAGCCCTCTTCCTGGCAGTCGCAGTAACTACAGGTTTTTGCACCAGAACCCACGAGTTTCTGGAAAGTCGCAAACGCCAACATGACCACGACAGGGAACTTTCCTGGAGACCATTAGAGAGGTAAGATCCTCCCAGGAGTCTGGGAGAAGCGGCCCTCAATACAGATCCCAAACAGAACTGGTTTGTTATGCAACAACCAATAATTGCCTGCTCCGGTCCGGACCATGAAGATGAGACACGGCCGAAATGGGTTGTTTTGCAACACCAAAAATTGCCTGCTCCGGTCCCTACCATGAAGATGAGAAACGAGGAAACCAAAAAGTATTTGCTTCGGTCTAGAACGAGGAAACTGAAAAACTGCTCCCCTGGCACTGCTACGGTGGGCCCGAGGCGATGACGATCCGGAGACTTGAGGAGGTCCGGGTACGTAGGGTTCCCTTGAAAGGGATCTTAAAAGGGGTTCTATATAAGGGCTACTATGAGGAGACTATAAAGTATACGCGCTTAAGAAGTACCTATACTATTTTTTGGGGGGGGCTCATTCTTATCACTATGCTATAAAATTTGACGGAGCCTTTGAAGAGCAGACCCTAAAGAGGGTTTCGGATTTGGTTTTGGTCGGGGTTTAAGTTACTAATATCGATACCTTTTTGCCGGCTGTTCTCTCCAGATCATTGGTTTTTGGGAATGTTAGTAAGAGCCGGATTGGAATGTACGCAAAGTCCTACTGAGTCCTACTCAGCGACTCGATGTAGCGAGAACAAAAACCGTGTGCTTACATCGCGATCTTTTGCCGGTTAGAACAATCTGTTCTCGCGCATGATCACATGTTCCGAAATCTGATAATCTATGATACTCGATGGTAGCCCTAATAAACCCGAACCCGAAATGCTCGATCATCCGCATGTGAGGGAAGAGGTGCATGGTAGTTTGTGGGCTGCCATCTAGCAGGCATTCTGAAGAAAGTCCCCAAAAAAAAAAAATTATGACGATGAGAACCTTCCCCTGTTGTTCTCAAAACTTTGTGAACAAGGGGTTGGCGGTGTCGTTAAGTGCAATCGGGCTTCGTGGCAGGAAAGGCGAGAGTGCGGTAACACTCGATGCACCATGGGATTGCGGCTCATGCACAGTATTGCCTCAGTTTGCCCCATTACAAACCTGAGAAAGTATACCCTGAAACCATGATGAAGGCCCATATAATATGATACGATGCCGCAGTGCCCATGGAGGTTGCTCCAACTGAGTCTTCGAAGAAACCCCAAGCGGAAGTTTTAGGAAAGAAGGGGATCCTAAGTCGTAGGAGCCTCATTTGCGGACAGTTGAAGTACAGAACCATAACGTCATAATGGTGAGAGTTTCCACCCAAAGAAAACTTCCCTTTCAACCGGAGCATCTCAAGACTCTGAAGAGGACCAGGGGGTGGAGCATCGGCTAGTAGTGCTGCGTGCCGGGGGACCCAGACGGAGAAAGCGAGTTCTGAGAAGTTGAAGCTTTCCGAGTTGGGGGATTTCTTTCGAGTTGCGATACCGCATTCCACATGGGTAGTTGTCAAAATTAGGGTCCCTTTTTGGGGTACTCTAAATATTAGGTGCCGTATCATAGTAGGGGACCCAAAAATGGGAGCCTAATTTTGACGGTTACCCACTTGTAGTTCAACTGTTTGTATAGGCTTCGTAGGCTTTCTACATGGTCACCTGCAAGGTTTGGATTTGGGTTAGGCCCCCACCCAGTGCAGCATTGGTACAATTTGAATCTAGGGGCGGCCCTGACATGGTTTCCATTATCCCCTGTGATCACTTTGAAGGGGCGGGCATGACCTAGGGTCTCGGCTTGCCTGAAGTACTCCAAGCCGAGAAAAACGCGGACAAACACTAGTCTGCTCAGCAATCGAAATGGAGGACTTTCATGGATGTCCATCGGCCATGCTGTGATCAAATTCACTTTTGCAGCATATCTGAGCAGAATTCCACAGAGCAACGACTTAAACAGAAAGGAAGTTGTAAAGGACACGGCTCTTGGTTTCCCGCAGCCTTCTTGTCATCTTAGTCAGAAGGCCAGAACCCTCCACAAAACCAAAAGGCCCTCAACATCTGGAGCGGTCCTGAAGCAGCCAAGTCCCATTAGGGTTACTGTAAGGCCTTAAACAATTAGAATAGGGGTTTTCGAGTCATTCTACGATAATTCTGATAAGGAACCCCATTTCCTTGAAACCGACTCGCAACCCCCAGCCCTCAACCTTAAAACTTACCAGAAAAGCCATAAAGTCTACACCCCAAACCCAAAACCCTGAAACCTCTAAACTCCTAGAAGCCTCCATGACCACCACGAAACCCTAAAGCTTGGATCCACAATATAGGGGCGTAAATAATTACCAAGACTATTTTGGGGGCTCCTTATCACAATGATAGTATACTGGACTACTGGACCCCGAACCCCATTCTAAGTATTAAGTAATGATTAAGGCCCCTATATGGAAACCCCCATAATACCCCTTATAGTAACCCTAAAGGGAACCCTATTCTGATTATTAAGGCCCCTATATTAAACCCCCATAATACCCCTTATAGTAACCCTAAAGGGAACCCTATTCTGACTATTAAGGCCCCTATATTATTCGGGCCCAGGCTTCCCAGCACGTGCAGCAGATGCGGACCTTTCTGGAGCCCCCCGAAAGGGAAGTCACCTCTAAAGCTTTCAAAAACAAACTGTGCGGGGGGGGGGGGGGTGGGTTGACTGGGGCTTTAGTATGAGGGCTGTTCAGGGTTACAGGGTCTTGATAAAAGCAGTGCTGTGCTGTTGAAAGGTCGCCATGGGCTTCGTGTGGTTTTGCGCCCAAAGACCCTGAAGTGGCTTGGTTCAGGACTAGTCAATCTGCACCCTAGGCTGAGGATCTAAAACTTTTGAGAAAAAGGGGTCTGAGTAGCTGCTGACAGTTGTTCTTCAAGTTCCTTGTCCCAGTCTACCTGAACCCTTAAACGGAAGCAAGCCAGCAACCTCTTCGATGTTTGAGACCCTCCGTATTACCTCCTTGGAAGAGCTGAATAAAGGAGGCGAGGACTTCAAGGCAAAACAAAACGTGACTTCGTAGCAGTCGTCGGTAATGCATGCTGCAGGAAAGAGTTGGAAAGGTTATAGTAACAGCAGTAGTAATCGCGTCACGAAAAATTAGGCTAGCTCGCAGATATGCGCATTCGCACATAGCCTGAATCTACGAAAGAGTTACAACTGGCTGATACGAATCCATGTCTGCTTCTGACGGCATGTAGTTTTACAAGTATATACACATATATAAATATACACATATATACTCCTATATGTATAGTTGCATACATATGTAGTCCACTTGTTTCATGTATGCACACATGAGAAGCCCCACATCACTAAATCCAACAGATCAACCAATACGACCCTTGGAAACCTCCCGGATTGAAACCGTCTTTCTCACATCCAAGGGTATTTCATAGTTAAGCCAAATCTTCGGGGAGCTTTCGTTTGAAACGCGAGGAGAAGACGCTCCGAACACAGGGGCTTTGCTCCAGCCTGCGGCCCAGTCACTCCCGCACTCCGAGGTTAAAATCCTCAAGACGGGAAACTGCATAATGAATGAAGAACTGGAGTCTGTAGCTTCTTGAAAGGGCTTCCCAAGCATCTCAAGGATTATGTGGCATGAAGGTAGAGGATATAAATCCTGCATGGCCCATAATAAGGAATATACCATACTTCCCATAGTCTAGGGCGATGAAGGTATGCAGGATTTATATGCGTAGTTGTCGAAATTAGGGTCCCTCTCTGTGTACCCTAAATAGTAGGTGCCGTATTATCATAAGGACCCATAAAGGGACCATAGTTTTGACAACCACCCAGATCATCAACCATATCGGATCCTAGCGACCTTCGGGGCTATGACTTTGAAAGACAAGTTGTGCAGAGCAGTGGGCTACTGTTATAGAACCCTACAATATCCATTAACGGTTGACCGATCCAGAGGCACCTGAAAATTGGGCTACTACTACGACCACTACCACTACGACTACGACTACGACATACTACTACGACTACGACTACTACTACTACTACTACTGCTACTACTACTACTACTACTCCTACTGCTACTACTACTACGACTACTACTACGACTACGACTACGACTACTACTACTACTACTACTACTACTACTACTACTACTACTACTACTACTACTGCACCTGAAAATTCCCATTTGCTTGCTGACTGCTGGGACAGGCAGCGACCTCACGGGCATCACGCCCGGGAGCATGCCCTGCTGGCGAAGTGTTTTGGGCAGCTTTTCCCACGTGGGAGTTTCCGAAAATGGGGGGCCCTAATGTAGTACCCTAAATAGTAGGTTCCTTATTATAAGGACCCCAAAGTATTCGGAAACTCCCACGTGGAGCCGAAGGGCTAAATGGGAGTTTCTGAAACTTAGGGGTACCTTACTTTGGGGTCCTTATCATGAGAATGCTACTATTTAGGGCGCTGTATTAGGGTCCCCTATTTTCGGAAACTCCCAAATCCGAAGTCTCTTCAAGGTCTGGGGTCAAACACTTCTATCAGCTATTCCTTCGGATTCCCTACACAGCATGTAAGTCATTGAAAGATCAAGATCTTAAGCCATTGTTCTAGCACTGGCAGCCCTACCCCCAGAACCCCGCAAACAGTCGTGGCTCAAGCGATAGTCTTCCTTTGCAGCCCCAGCTGTTGGGAGAATGATCGAGTTGTATTTCTTCACAAACCGGGCAACCACGAAAGACGTGGTACTATTGCCTGCACTATGCCACGATGTGGCTCTTTTCTCCGTAGCTTTACAGCTTATGCTCCTTGTGCTGATCCTTTGCTATGCTTGCGTCAAGGCTCTGTCCGAGCGCCTGGCCAACTTCTCGCGCGCAAGGAGCGTTGCCGCAGAGGAGGCCGCAGACGAGCAGGCTCCAAAGTTCAGGATTGAGCTGCAGCCGCCGTGCAAATGCCTGCGGTTCGCGGTGAAGTGGGATCCCGACATGCGGAACATGATTAACTGCCTCAAAGAGGAGGGTGAGGAAGCCCTCACTCCATTCTTCGAAAGTGAGGTGTTCGTTTGGAAGCTGCGGAAGTACGTTCGCAACATGGTCTCAAGTGCTGACAGATTAAACCTCAAAAGAGACGTGATCCGGCGTCGGCAACAGCAAGAGCTCAACGAAAGGACTGCCCAGAAGACGGCTGAGCAGGAGATGCAAGATCGACACTAGGCGTCGATTTAGGATATTTTTTTTAATATCCCTGACTGCTTAATAGAGCGTCCAAGTTATAAACAATTTTGGGGACTGCCGAAAGCGACCTAGGACAGGCGTTGTTGGAGCTCTTTGGTCAAGTGGACCGACCTTCGGCCGCTGCTCAGGCACCAGTGGTACTAGAGCAGGCGCCTGTGGTGGAACCTTCGGAGAAGCCAGCGGCTTCCATTGGGCTGCCAATTGTGGCAGAAGAGGATGACGCCCCGGATCCATTCCTTAAGATGCTCGCTGAAACTTCACAAAAAAAGCCAACAGACCCCCAGATGTCGCCGGAAGATGCTGCTGCCCTAGCTTCCATGATGGCACAGGGGCCTACAAGCAGCTTGAGAGAAGGACGGCAGGCGGAGCAACCCATGCTCAGCGCTACTCCGCAGGGGAAGCCAGACGAAGCCCAGTTGTCCCCCGAGGATGCCGCAGCGATGGCATCGATGATGGCAGAGCAGCCTCCAAGCAGCACAAACACAGCACCTCAATCTCAGCAATCCGTGGCTGCCGAGTCACCGGATGCCTTTATGACAATGCTCATGGAGACCTCGAGGAAGAAGCTAGCGGACACGCAGATGATGCCAGAGGATGCTGCAGCAATGGCAGCCATGATGGCAGCAGAGCAGCCCTTGAAAGCAGAAGCGCCGATTGATGCTCAATTGTCACAGGAGGATGCTACCGCCCTGGCGTGTCTGATGGCAGAGGAGCCCACCAGCAACTCTACCGAAACACCCCAGACAGAAGAGTCCTCATGCAACACAGATGGCTGGGGCGGTGATGATTGGTGGGCGCTCATCGATTCCAGTCTGTCACCACCAGAGGCAGCAGTCAAGCTCTTTGCAGCAATGGGAATCTCGGAAGACATTGCATTCGTCACAACTGCTCCTGTCGCGCCCACCAACACCACGAGAAGCGAGGACGCTTTCAAGGACTTTTGGGACAATTTGGATGCCGACATATCGCCAGAACTGGTGGCAGCTAACCTCGTGAGCACGGCCCAGTTCATAGAGGCTTACTGAGCGATGCAAGTAGTGCAAGTGCCAAAGTGCACTGAGCAACCTGTGCGTAGAGCTCTCCAGGGACAGAGAATGCGAGGTACTCAGGGGCTCAATCCTTGATGTTCAAAGATGTTTGCAGCCTGGTTCCGGCATGTATGGAGAAGTTCTGCCACTTAGACGGCCGACGATTTTAGTCATCGGTTCAGGTTATCTGCAAATGTCGCCTGTGCGGTGTTGGATGGCATCTGTGCTTCGGATGTCAAGACAGACGTAGCATGGAGACCCTCGCCACTCCGCCCCAAAATGTTGAGTTAAAACCCGATGCCTCAAGATGCCGTCCTCCTGACGTCTGACCGTTCGTCAGACGCAAGCAGCAAAGCTTTCTCATCTCTAAGAGATGGACGAGTGGACGAGTGCGGCAGCCAAAACAGTCCGACTGCACGGGCGCACCTCTGGCTTCGCCGTATCCAAGGTGTTGAAACAAAACCGCCTTCTAGACTCGGGCATCGCTTCAAGGTTCCAAAGCTGTCCGTCTTGGATGAAGCCCAAAACGGGAAGGGCCTGCAGACTCCGAGACGACATGTCTCGAACCGTCCCATTTGTGAGCACCAGAACCGACCTCCAAAGGTTACCTCATAGATTTTGGGCATTCGAAGTTGGCTGAAGCGCTCCCAAACCATGAACACCGAACCGCTTGAGCCACAAACCCCCAAAACCTCAACGCCACAGAGCCAGATTCCAGCCTTCCCATGATGCCCCGAATCTTAAACTTGGAGCTCGTCATAACACCGCATTCCTAGTTCATGACTGTTGATGTCCTTTTCCTGAGCCCGAGTGGCCCTGGCGTTAACACCCCAGCTTGCTGCCAGTGTGCTGGAAAACGAGAGCTTCATGCAGATGGCGCCACCGACGTGTTTGATGCCAGTCATGGCAATGGTCCTTCCATCTGTCTTCAAATTCTATGGTACTTTCCCACGATGTTGCTGCCCTCTTCTTTTTCCTAACTTTAGGAGCTTCTCATCCGTTTCCAAGCAGGGCGTATGGGAGTTTAGGTTGCCTGTATGGAAGCGAAAGGGGGTTATGCTGCCCTTGTCTGACGGCCTTGTGTAAACCCCTTTGTCACGCGCCTCGGGCTTAGGAGCGTGATGCGGATCGTAAAAGGCCACTGTGGAGGGTCCTTTCCAGTTTAGTTAGGTTCCAGGACCTTGAAATGAGAATTCAGAAGACAAAGAATTCCAATAAAGACCTGGCGTAGCAGGATCCTTTGTGAAAGACCCCGCAAAGTGGATCCCCCTAAATCGAAGAATCCCAAAATCAGCACATTAAGCGGAAAACCCTACAAGCTCCGCTGCAGGTGCTCCGAAATGAGCGTGCCATTGGGGATGCTACAGCATGCCTGAGTCTGAGGGGTTCCTTTAAGGCTTCCTTTGCCGCAAGACGACAGTTTGGCGCTGATGCTGGCATTGCAGTCACCCGAGCCCATCTAGGTAGCTAGGAAATCTTCGCTCTCCAAAATTTGAAACCCGTTCCTTTAAGGGGCCCTTTCTTAAAGGGGCCCTTAAAGGGAATTATAGAGTTCTAGAATAGGGCCCACTTAAACGGGAACCATAGGGTTCTGTAGTAGGGTGCCTAAAGAGCAGTTCGACCCGTGGCTTTGGCTTGTGGGAGATGTCGGAGTTGAGAGTGTCGGGCTGTTGGATCTGTTTCTTCACCCGAGCCCTGATGGTGCAGTCGGACCCCCACAGACACCCTCAAAATGACCTAGGTTTCTTGCTGTAAAACCTGGTCTTTATCGTAAGGATCGATTAACAGCACGGCTTCCCAGGCTCTCCAAGATCCGCACGCTCACATGGTCCTGGTGCGACGGCGGGCTCCTCGGGGACCGGGGGATTCCGCTGTGGGTGTTGCAGGGCTTGCGGGTTGGGCGAGCTGTATAACACGGTAGGAGTATTCACTCACAGGTGGCGCAAGCTCTGTTTGGAGAGTGGTCCTTGGTCTGACTCCGTCCATCTCCGTCCTGAACTCGAGGATATGTCCCCGCGTTGTGCAAGTTCAAACGCTTTTGCGCAGTACTTGCACAGCCCACCTCTTTCGAAAGGGTAGCAGGTCCTCGTGAAAGCGATGTACCGTACCACAACAAGAAGCAAGGGCCGGGGAGGGCCTTGCACCTTTACGCCTTCAGGGACTCGCTGAAGCAACCCCCCTAGAGATACTATCGGTCTTTTTGTTTCGGCTCCTACATCACTCCGAAGAACCCACCCACCCAGCCACTGGGAGCCCAGATCGATTCGCCTGGGATGAGCCTCAACACAGGCGAAACCTTCGAGTTTTGGAGCTTGGAACCTTGTTGTCTTAGATCTTAGGGGAGGGGGGGGGGGCCGTAGAAGGGACCTTATTGAAAGGGTCTCAAACCTCCCATCTCCAAGGGTCCCCCGAATCGAGTTGGGATTCTCTTTTTCAATTGTGAACCCCTCTTGGGGCAGTCTGGGGGGTCCCTACACCCTAAACCCTACAAACCCTAAACCACGGTGAAGCTCCGATCTGAGTTTCAGGCCCTCAGTGCAGAGTTCTTACCTTTGCTTAGTGGGGAATGGAGGAATGGGGTAATATAGGGGCCTAAATAATTACCAATATTATGGTGGGGGGTCCTTATTATGATTATAGTATAATGGGCCCCAAAACCCTATTCTAATTATTAAGGCCCCTACATTTCAACTATAACTACTATTGCTACCATTCTTCCATTCCTTACTAACCACACGTAAGAGTTGAGCTCCTCAGGCAGTTTTCTTTCGGGGAGCCGAAGATCCCAGGCCGAAATAGGCTTTTGGGGCTTCCTTGCTTATAGTTAAAGTATAATTATGGTACTGCTCTAGTGTAGTTATAGTACTGCTATCGTATTGTTATAGTATTGTTATAGTATAGTTATAATATTGTCATAGTATAGTTATACTATCGTCATAGTATTGTTACAGTATAGTTATAGTACTGCTATGGTATAGCAACGCCCAAACCCTATTCCAAGTATCACCCTACATTACAACACCTAAAGTCGAACCTTTTTGACAAGCCCGCAATCCTTATGTAACGGTTGTACAACGCAGCCAAAGGCCTCCTGCCATTCTTCGGGACGTCTCTTCAGAAGGAGGAAGACAAACCGAAAGCAAACCCCCGTATGACCGCTACGGCCCACCTCCTGACTTGATTTAAGATTTGCCGGCTACCCGCGTCGTCACTGATATCTTGGCTATCTTCCACTCCTCGCTGCGATTCATACGCTTTAAAAACAGAACCTTGAACTGCATGCCCAAACAATCGCTGGATGCTTTTCGATTTTCCGGTGAGGGTCTTGCAGAAAATGTACGGGAGGCATCATGAAATAGCATGACCTTTGACCTAAGAAGTTCCCCAAACCTCCTGAGCCCCGAAATCTTTACTCCAAACCCCTCTACACCCCAATCCTCAATCTCTCTTGCCCCTCAACCCCCCACCCCTCAATCCAAACAGGCCTAAACCCCTCTGCAGAACCCTGAACCCCCAGCCCCTTTAAAGAGCCTTAAAAACCCCTCAACCCAAAAAACTTTAAACCCTTTCAAGAACCCTCAACCCAAAAAGCCCTAAACCCCCTGGGACCCCTTTCAAGAATGCAACGGGCAGTTCATACGGTTCAAAAACAGAATCCGAAAACCCCTAAACCCCTTTAATAACCCCTAAACCCCGTTAATGACCCCTAAACCCCTTTTAATAAACCCTGAACGCCTTTAATAAACCCCAATCCCTAAACCCCAAACCAGCCCTCTAAAGAATGTCGCTTAGCCTTAAAGGGGTCTATGTGGGTTCCCCGGAGGCTTCTCTTCCTCGGGCATCTCCCTGGATCTCCGGGGCTTCGGCGAGTTCTTAGGCGCCAGACCCCGGAAAGGGTTTAGGGGGCTTTGCGGGTCTAGGTGTTTAGAAGGCTTTACGGGTTAGGGGTTTAAGTGTTTAGGGGGGTTTAGGGTTTAGGGAGAGGTTTAGGGTGCAGAGTTTTGGGGTTTTGGGGGTTCCTTGAAGGGCTCTTGAAAAGGATTTACGGTTCAAGTCTTTGGCATTTCCGTAGAGTTTAGGGTTTGGGGTGTAGGGAAGGGGGGATCCTCGGATTCTGACGCCCTCCCATGTATTAACCTGAACCAAAAAAGCCAAGAAGGGATGGAAGTAAGAGTAGTAGCAATACTAACAGTGACATTGTAACCACACTGTATATTGGTGCTAAGACTTGTGAGTTTGAGGTTCGGTTTGATTTGGCTTCTACGATTTGCTTCAACCTCAGGGAGCCCCTGCCTTTCTACTGCCAACCCTGAAACCCTTCATCCCAGAAGAGTCGGTGCAGAAGTTGGCAGGACGGTGCATCTTTGGGAGTAGAGACTGAAACCTTGTGAAATCCAGCAGGGGCCTTGGGGTGTTAGGGGGTTTTTCTCGGGGTTTTGGGGGGCTTCCTAAAGCCGCAAGTGGCGTTGGTGCCTTCGACTTCCGGGTTTCCGAAAATTGGGGCTACCTTATTTGGGGCTCCTTATAATAAGGATCCTACTATTTAGGTACTATATTAGGGTCCCTTATTTTCGGAGAGGTGAAAAGCTGATGATAGCAAGGCTCCCAGGAGTAGGAGCTGGGATCTTGGGTACAGTTTCCCCTGCCTTTTTTGCATCTTGCCCCTAAAGATAGATTAGGGATCCCTTATATACAGACTCTTATGTTGGGGCTACCCCTAAACCCTAAACCCCCTAAACCCTAAACCCCGAAACCCTAAACCCTGGGTCTGGGGGTGTAGGAGTTGAAGCTTCGGGTCCTTCTGTTCCGGCTTTCACGTCAAGGGTCCGACTGTAGAAGCTCTACACGTGGAGTCCTCCATTCTTGGAAACTCAAGAGTGGTAGACGGCTTCCGTGATCAAAGAAGGACTCTGAAGGGAGGTTCAATTCAATGGCAGTAGGGCCCAGTAGGGACGAACATCCTGTCCTCCATCATGACGAATCACCATGACAAGAAC